ATTTTTAGGACTTTAATATCAAAAGTGAGTCTGATTTGATCAACCATCTCAGGACGGGGCCCTAAAAATAACAAAGCCGTTAAATTGGAAATGAACTCCCATGATTAAATCTGTTGTCTTTAAATTCACTATAAAGCAAGCGTCGAGGACGCAATACACCCATATTAATGCTGTGATTTGTAAGGTTTATAACCTTTTGACTTGATTTACAACCTATACTTACGTGTCATCGACCTCATAGCAGGATAAGTTCACCGTACGGGATGATGACCCGGCATGTTTATTTAAACAAAAAAGCATATTTCGATTGAAAGACTACCAACCTGTGGAGCAGTCAAGGTTGTAGTAGTACAACGATCCATCCCCAGTGACGGTAAAGAGATAGGTGAGTCCTTCAAACTGTGCAATGGTGATGGAGCGGGGTAGGATTGCAATGCCTGAGGTGGGAGTCATTGTGGGCAGAGGCTCTATGCAGACTACTTCTAGGGAGGGGAGCTTGAGAAGCGCAACCCCATGGCCCATCCACATTCCCACGACCACGTACTCTGGCTCTAAGTCATCGAGAGGATCCCCAGAGTTGGAGGAATCCATCGCCTCTTCCTCATTATTACCGATCCTGACAGAGGGCTTGACGCTGCTCACGGGTGACTGAAAAGCCGAGGAGTAAATGGCTGCTTTTGCCGCAACCGATCTGTCGAAGGGTGTGAGGTCAACGCATGCAACTTCGTGTGGGAGAGCTGCATTGCTAAAAGTGATAAGGTTTATTAGGACCGCTTCCAGCTAAGCTATTTGACCATGCAAGTCTTCGGTCACCTATGATCTAATCTACATGCTGGGGCCATCGCATCTATATCATCAGTATCTCAGCCCCCATTTCGTAGTAAAACTACCTTGTGACTATTATTTCTTGTAACTTCTTCAGAGGTGACTCCTGGCTCCTGCCCTGCCGTAGATCGGAAGAGAGAAGTACGTACTTGATCCAATCAGCACAATTTATGCAACCAGCAGCAGAGAAGTGTAGAGGTCGTCATTTCAATCTAGCGGTACTTGTGTAGTAGAGCGAATATTTGCCTTAAAGCGATTCGACAAATATCAGGTGTTTAGTTAAACCTAAGCTCCTTCACCACTTAGTTCACTAGGTGATAGTAGACAGGAGATTCGGTTGAGTAGGTAGCAGACACCACCAACAGATTCACCAAATAAACAAGAATCGTGTTGTGGTGAAAATTCAATTTCGGACTGAGATTTCGTACTTTACAAAGCCACTATACTGAACTATTTTGGCCATCAGAAATAAATAGCTTTTTACCAAACTCAAGTGCACATTTTAATGAAGTGAATCACCTGAGGCAGTCATTAAGGACACAAACTTAAAACACTCCTTGTCCATTTAACATTTGTTGAGATATCCAGATCTGCTGCAGCTACCTTCAACTAGCTTACCTGCCCGATCCAAATCCCCTAACAGAAGGAAACTTCTCAGACTATCGATAATATGCTGTACGCGTCAATAACCACATCCTTCCTGGCCAAAAATTTCGATAGTGTTTCAAAATGCGAAATTTTGAGCCATCCGGATTTCCACCAATGTTGGAATAAAATTGCACTTTTAAAACTGCCAGAAATATTAGAGACGGTTAAAATAAAACTCTATTGCATAAGGAAGCTAGATACCTAGTGCTAGGACTAGATATCAAAAATTAGAAAACTTGGCAAACGAGTTTCCGTCGTTGGTTTTCGAAATGGAAATGATTTGGGATCACCGACAAAGTCAATTTGAGAGGCACTCGTTGTCTTGACACATTTTATAACGAATTTCGTGGATGCCTTATCAACATCATAAACCTTGAGTGAATCATGCTCATGCACGTTTCAAGTACCCTGTGTTAGAGTACAACCTTAAATGATATCATCGGAGTAGCTTATGTGTAAGCCATATCGGTTCTTTTAAAAGAACACACTTTACAATAATCTTCCTGCTTCTGTCGGTAGCACCTATTGGACAAGAAGTAGATTTACCCAATTTGAGTGAATTCCGGAGCCTCTGGCGTTCCCGTTATGCGTAGGGCAAAGAGATCTGACCCACTGGCTACCACAACGTAGTCACCATGCGAGGCAAGAGAGGAAACAGATCTATCAGTCGGTGAACGCCACTTAGCCAGGCATCCCCTACCCATGAGGCCCTGTATACCGATGAGTCGCAGACCATACGTGGTCGCCTGCAGAAGAAGAGACCTGGGATTCTGTTTGTAACCACTCGGGTAGACCACATCACAGTGAAGGGTTTGTTCTGCTAGAATAAAACCCTCCAACGTGAGAGATGCTAAGCAATCCTCTGCTATACACGCCAGTCTGTAAGAAAAACAATCCCACTAACAGTGACTGAGGTCAAAATTACAAGCGCAATGTTAATAATACTTTAAATTATTCTTAAATATTCCACTCTAGATTACTGAATTCCACTTCCCCAAGTCACAGAAACAGGTAGTAAATTGTCTAACATTCTTTCCTAATGAAGCACAGCAAAGTTAACGCAATCGACTGCAGTTGTGTTTTCAATTACGTTACGTTTGATGGATTTTCAACATTTGATGGTATATAACTCAACCAAACCCCAATAAAAACCGCATGAAAAATAAATGCACTGGGTGCTATTGATGTTACTGTAGTAAAGAAAGACTTACTGAGATCGATTGATTAGTGACACGATGATGGAGTCATCATAAGTATCTGATTTGAGTTGAAAACACCAAACACCTGGCGAAGAAAATTCATGCTTTAATATTATTGAACTAGACTTCAATTTGTAAAAAAATTGACGTGGAGTGAGCAGCAAACCTTTGATATCCACCCTGTCAATAGTAGCACGCTCCTGAATGCCAATGCCATTTCTAATGACACGCAGGCTGCCCTCCTTGTAGCAGCCGGAACAGGTGATAAGTTGGCTCTGCCCGTCGTTCTCAAAGAAGACCATATCGACAATGGGACCGATGTTTGTGAACTCTTCAAGAATTGTAATGTAGCTGTTTTTGTCGGGATCGATTTCTGGATTCAGTTGAATCAACTGCGAATCACCCAAGTAGGAGCCGATGAAAACCACACCGTTGTCCAGGTAAACGATAGACTCTGGGATAGCCGTCTCCCCTGGAAAATAAGCAGTAAGGGAATAGTCTCTGCAAAAGCTCATTCTTGAGTTAATGCCAAACCTTAGCCAGAAATCTTGGAGAGGTTCTTCACTACATTACTACCGGTTAGCATGTCTAACTCACCGCGATGTAATAACAACGAAACATTAATCTGTGAGATGACAGTCTTCAGGCAATGCTTTGCATTAAAGGTAATTTTAAGCATGAGATTAGGTTATTGTCGATCTACCAAGAAGCTCAATGCGTATGGAGCCGATGCGTGGACTGGCGTGAGTCATGTCACGCGATGTCGACGGTATCGGTCGGATAGTTTTCTCATCCTGCGGCAAGAGGTGGACCATGTAAAGACGGCCAGCTATATCTCCCAGAAGGTAGCGTCTTGAATCCACCTTGGCATAACAGACTATACGGCTGTTCTAAAGTATTAAAAAGATCATAAAAACGTAACCTTAAAAAAACAATTTATCTCTGAGCGTTAATAAAAAAAGCATCAATTCGTACCTGGGCTTGAGGTATGTACTGAGAGATGTGAAAGGTCTCACGGGTGTGATAACAAATAATACTGTCGCCTACTAAGATAAAACCATTATAAGGGGCAGGAACAGGGATGAGGATTTTTGAGCTGGTTTCGATGGAATCAACATTTACAGGCACGGAGCGCAGGATTGGGTCTTTGCCAAAGATATCGTACATCTTTATGGAGGCGACCATATCATCCTCATAGATCAACGCAAAAGTGGGTGTTGCATAACCGTGTAAGAAGACCATATCCACAATTTGTGTCTCCTCAATTCTAATTAGCAAGGTAACCAAAGTAACACACAACCCACCTAACGCTTATGGACATTGCTTGTTGATCGACTTTGTTTAAAGGGTCGCGAGGCCCAGAAAGATTTGCAATTGGAATAAGCTTCAGCATCCCATAGTACATCCTGATTACAATGTATGTAGCGCCAGGGTCCACCAACGCATCGAAGCCTTGATCTAACATACGTGCAGCACTATCCTATATTACAGAAAATTAGCTCATTCATTTGTGAAGACATACAGCAATGCTCGCCGACATGATTGTAACAAATTCGATTGAGTCGTTCTTACGTATGCATTCTATGATGGCTATGTCAGCTTTGTGAGTGAGTATGAATAAGAAATCGCGCCTCCAAAGTTTCTGACGAAAAAACAGAGCAGTGAGAACGCTGGCATTTAGTGGCACGTCATGTATCAGCTTCAGACCCTCGCTTGTAACATCATAAAGTTCCAGGTAAGAATTTTTGATGATAAGGAGATTCAGGTCATTAGGACTTGTAAAATTTCCTAAAACCATCAAAAAAAAGTTTGCATACTCATATTCCTTAAGATACGTCATGGACCTATCAACCCGTTTTACTAAATAGTTGTAATAAAAGAAAAATTGAAAGAGCCCTAACACATCTGCAAGTCACTGAGATGGACAACATGACGCAGCAATGAGAACAGTAGGTTTTATCTTCTTACATCGTAACTATACCTGTAAGAGCTTTTGTAACGGAAGTCGAACGCTGCGTTGTCACATGGTAAAACTGCGACATGATCGTACAGACGAGCAGTGCAGAATGCAAGGCTAACTGTAATAACCGGTCATTCCGTGATTGGTTATAGTGATTTAATGATAAGTCAAAATTAACCCTACCGAAGAATTTGAGTTCTTGCTATTCTTGGCCTCGTTTTAGTCGTACTTAAAAACGGTGTGCATTTGGAAAGCCCAAGACGCATAACTTACATAGGTATCTCCAGAAAGAAAAGGGATGAACTTTACTATGTAACCATTATTTGATACAATACTTTCGTACATCTCATGCCAATTTTTACAACAAATTACATTGAACCTCCCCATGTGTAGCCCAGTGTGCAAATCGTTTCCTGATTATCAAAAGGAGCACCCGTTTGTAAAGGCAAATTGTACTCAAATTATGCTCCTTTTTACCTTAATAATAGTGCTAAGCAGGTGAAAAGTGATTCAAAACGCCTTACAAAAATGATAGGCAAAATGCTACACGTATAGCGCACCATGTCCTCCCTGAAGACAATAGAATATATGATACTTGGGCAGATTACTTAGTTCCAGCATACAGTAGGGGTAAGGGCTATCGGCATGGCCCATAGGCCAGCCAAACCGGCAAAGGCACAATAGCCAAAACAAAGGAGGCTTTTATCAAAACTGAGGGTTGAACAACCAACATATTACAATTATGAAATGAAATGAGCTGTAGTGGCTTTCCCTACGATCACCTGTAAAACTAACTTTGACCCACATATTTAAAGCACTTAAAATCCGTGCCCTGCGCAGTTAATGAAGCTACCTATCCATTCAAGTTTACTTAGGGCTGCTGTACTACTGAATATTCGCATATTTCTGCCCCTTTATAATTGGCCGCTAATGATTACAGGTAAAGCTCGTACTTGTGGTGATTTCTGAAACCAGTTGGCGTATATTTATCTGTATAGACCTTCTAGATGGAAAGCAGTCGGTCTTTATAGACCCCGTGGCTGAGCAGATGCCATTAAACTCTGAGGGGAAAATGAAATGCCCTTCGCGAATGACTCCTGTTTTGAGAACATTTTTACAAAACCTGTGCAAAAGAAGATGTTTTCTTTAACTAAGATGATCAGTCCGAGGGTATGAAGGCTAAAATACAGAAGAGAAGTGCTGAAATTTTTGTGATCAAAGATGCACTACTCAAGGGCTGCAATTGTGTCGCGCGAGTAACGCTCTGTGATTGGTAACCGGATTAAAAGCAACCGAAATTCAAATGATCAGAGATATTTTTCAGCTTTGTAAGGGATGAGCTATAAGCATTAGTTATCTATTCAAAACCCCTTTTACTAACCGGTGCATTCCTACACTCTGTTTGCTGGACTTTTGTTGTGTATAAAAAGGCACGTAATTAAGTCGATTAAAGGGTACTACAAATCCAACCAAACTCACTCTCAAAACATCGACATTATAGACGTGTTTTTTGATTATTATGGCAGATATGGGGCCAGACCAAACTAAACAATAATCATGCCGGATACGCATTCGCATTTTGTTGCCTAAATGTGTTCTTGTTTGTTAAATGCCTTCTTTTAAAGTAACCTAGTGGTTTTTTTTGTAAATTATTTGTACAATTACCCACTAATATGATTGGTCAAGTTAGTTAGAAATTGTTGGTCAAGAGCCTCCCATGGTCATTCCCGGCAGACTCTTGATATGAGGTGCGTCTGAGGTGTAGTGAAGATTGTATTGCTTCCTGATTTCTTATCTGTTTTCCGCTGTCCATATGATAGTGGGTGATTTTTTTCGTTCAATTTTGGAGATAGGCTTGATAAACCTCCTGTTCCTCTAGCTGGTTTGCTCTTAATTTCTCTAAACCTGGACATTGTTTTGCTTTATTTCAGGTGAATTTTGTATTTATTTATGCGGGAACTATTACGATAGGCGTATTTCTTCTTTAGGTAATATTTTTTGTCACTTATAGCTCTCCCTCGATGGGATTTGAGTAATGTCCCACTCTCCCCTTTCCCCGGAAGCTTTTGACTTAGATCAAGAACATTGGAATTCTTCTGAAAGAAAGGGATTGGTTTCGTCAATTACTTGTTCAAGTGCTGACCACAGTTCTCCCTGTAAGCTGCGTTACCTCTTGACTCCTGGTCGACGCTATCTACTTTAAATGAATTTATGCTTCTTGAGGATGTACTTTTTGCCAGGGAAATTCGTTGGCTTTATGAATGTTGGTTTATTTGTTTATTAGTTTTCTTGTTCCTAGTGCATTCTAGTCCTGACAATGCGAAATCAGATGCATCTTGGATTTTAGCCTGCCCCGTTTGTGGCGACAAAGTATCTGGCTACCACTACGGCCTGCAAACCTGCGAATCGTGCAAAGGATTTTTCAAGCGAACTGTTCAAAACAAAAAGGCCTACCAGTGCACAGAAGCCGGCGTCTGTATCATTGACCGTGTCCATAGGAAGCGCTGCGCTTATTGCCGTTTCAAAAAGTGTCTTTCAGCTGGTATGCGAATAGAGGGTATGCTTTTTTGCTAGGACTGTCAAAATTTTGGCTCAGAAAATCTTTCTTTGCGTTTTGCGACCAAAAGGTCGTTTACTTAGATTGTTCTCTGCACATGAATTTTGTGGCTTTATTTTTGGTGCTGATTGTCAGCTTTTAAACAAACAACATTTGTGACTTCCAAGCTTGGCGCTAGGGATATTTTTGTTCCATTTTTGGTAAAGTGGATGTCGTTGTTTGAATTATCGGCAAGCTATGATTCGCCCATTTTCCTCATGGTCATTTGCGTACATGCGTGCTTGCGTGAACTACGCCTCCATCTTATCCCCTTTGCTACTCCCCTTGGAATATCACCCTTGGTGGCCTCGACTAGTTGCGTTTTCAATTCTCTGACGCATCATTGTAATTCAGGAAACTACATATCTAGGATTTTGCGCAAAATCAGTGGTCCAGACATTCCTTTTGATAAAAGTTTACTTCTCTACCGCCAGCCGTCCGCGAAGACCGAATGCGCGGCGGTAGACTGCGGCGGAGCAAATCGACTTCATCACCCCCTCCCTCCTCACCCGATCATGAGGGTAGCAGCGAGGTCGGTGCTGACGGGGAGGCGGAAAGAGTGGAGGTGGTGGAGAAATATCCTAGCGAACAGACCTCTCCCCTTGACCCTGCAACCTCTACCGCCACCACTCCCTGCCCCAACCAAGATGCTCCGACTTCCCAAAGGGCTTACTGGAACCCCCCCACATCCTCAAACCTCTGTGGCCTTGAGTGAGTTCTATGTTTTTTCTCCATCCGGGAGCGGCAATGGCACCATTATGCTCTCTTTTGATGTTCCACGGTCCCTGCGCATATCTTTGTTGTGTGTTTTGGGCACGAGTTGGTTTCTAATGCCAATCAAATTTCAAGCACGCACTATTTGGGTACGCCAACTGCTTTTTTCATCCGGCGATTGGTGATTGCGCGGCTTAGCCAATTGGCAGCTGCTGCCTCTATCGCTCGCTCCCTCTCTAGTTGATGTAGGCAATGTGGGTGGGCGGATGGGTGGATGCGTGAGTGGCATATTTGATATGCCTCTATTGTTGGCACCCGCCTTGCCGCCCTCAAAAAATGCGGCTTGAGTGTCTCCTTCCTCCCGCTAAAATGTCGCTTCCTCTTGATCTCGGACTGTAGGTTATTCCCATCCCCGGTTGTCTTTTCGGTTTTTAACAAAAATAGCTGGCTTTTTCACTCCTTCTTCCAATCATGGCTCTTGTCTTCAGTTGCTTTAGTTTAAACCCCCCCCCCCTTCTATTAATGTTGTTTATTTTCTTTTTTCCAGTTCTATCAATCCTCAGGCTGTACCGAAATCGGAAAATTGGAGTACACCTAAATCTGCCTCTTCCTCTTCCACCACCATTGCCGTCGCTGCAGCACCTCCGAATGGACCTCTGCGCCCGTTCATGCCGGCAGCAGCGACGCCCAGCTCCAGTCATCATGCTCCCTACACACCTTGCTCCTCCACCTCTTCTGCCTCCATCCCTGGGCTCTACGAGGGCCCAGCTCCAAAAAAGGAGACCGTGCCTCCGCTTGATAACGGTGCCTATCTCGCCTTAACCACCAGCGAACCACCGCCTAATACTGCACTCCTGGGCGCCTCCGGTTCTGGCAGTGGAGGCCAGACGCCTATCCCCTCGGCAGAGGAGCTTCAAGTACGTGTTTACTTCGACTAATAGAAGGGTTAACCTCTGCCTTTTGGAATGACAGATCCCACATTCTAAATATGGATTTTCCAGTACTACCCGCAAAATACCTCAGCCTCGAGCACAAGTCAGTCAGGAGGAGTGCTGTGGTCTTCTCGCAAATCGCCGACATTTCGTCTCGCCGACTACTATCGACCCACACCTTCGCAGCCACAACCGCTAAAGAGTAGTGGACGATTCGACCAGGTCGACGCGGGGGGCTTCTACACGGTTGATAGCAGTATGGCAGCTGAGCCTGAGAATTTAGAGGAGACATTGGAAGAAATTGCCGAATTGGAGGGCGAACTCTCCTCGGACGACGAGGCCTCCATGGCTGAGGGCGCTGGTGAGCTGAGATTCAGCAATGGTATCAAGACCGCAGCTTCATCTGCCGCCACCAGCAGTGTACCATTTGAGGGGATCAACTTTGCCCAACTCTTCTCAGCTTCGAATGCCCATTCGGAGAAGTTGATTGCCTTGGCCAAACAATTTTACCCTGTGAGTTTACAAAAAGGAACTCATGTTTTTCTCCACATTTATTCCTAGTTTTGATGTGAGGCGGTGCTGAGATGGTATGTAGTTTCCTTGCGCAATCCCATTTTAGTCTGTTTTGTCCAGCATTTGCTTGACTGGTACGGGCGCGCTACTTAAGCCTAGTTTCTACGTCGAGGTGCCCTTCCTTGACCGTTTCAATCTTCATCAGCCTTCAAAGTTCTCACGTCGTAAGGATTAGCGAATAACACTATTAGAGCGCAAACCTTGTCATTCTGCTATTTTCTCAATAGAAATTGAAGGAATATCTGATTCGAGCAAACACACAGGGCGAGATGGACCTTAATCCCGTGGAAGGTGGTTTCATGTCACCCGACAATGGAGGTGGGCCGGATGGTCTCGGTTTGGCCGCAGCAACACCCGACAGTCCCCTCGATAACATTCTCTGCAAGCTCTCAAGTATGCTCGAGGACTGCCTCTTCCACATGGTCGATTGGGTTAACCGGACAGAGATTTTTCGCGTAATTCGAGTGAGTATGATTTGCAATGATTGCGCTCATATACCTCGCGCTTTTTTTGACTAAGTTGGGATTATCAAGGTGCTTTCAAATTGATGGACTCTACCCATACGCGCGTGTGGGTTATACGTACAAAACGGGAAATGCAAATGGGGAACATAAATCGAACATGAGGCATTTCGTGTACTGGCCACTTGGGTGCACTTTCTGGCGGCAAAAATACATCCCACGGTTGTGTGTGCGCGCAAGCGCCACTAATTCTCCCCTCCACCCCTACATCTTGCTGCCCTATGATTGTGCCCATAACCATAAACCGCATACCTTAGCGCGCCCGCGCTCCGCCCATGAGTTATCGTGTGTGGATGCGCTTGTGCCTGGCCGTACGTTCCAATTCAGTCACCCACCCTATGGATCCTCTCTTTAAGTCGCAAATTTCTACTGTCAGACGTTTTCGCATCCTCTGCCTATCTGTTTCGATGCAGATGCTTCGCATTGTTTGACGGATTTGTTGGAAGACTGTATTGTTGCCAATTTTGTGACTTGGGTAGAATGGGCTAGGCCAAAATTGGCCGCCTCTCCACATCTATGCTTGTGTACGTGTTGTGTGCTTGCCCTTCGAAATTGTCATTCGTCACACCTATGGGCCCAGGGTGTGGCCTTAAAGTGCTGAAATGGAGGGCATAACGCTGGGCGTTTTTATTGTCCATTTTTTTCTACATCCTGATAATGGCAAGGGGAGGAAGATGAAATCATTCGACCCTTTTCACAGCGCAGCTACATTACGCTTTCTTCTATTTGAGTTCTGCAGTAATGACATTTTCTATCCCTACGTGAGACTAAATTCGAAACTCTTGTTGCCCGTTCATTTATTGTAAAGCTACCTAAATCACTACTTTTCATATTTTTTCCCTGGGTTGATTTTCTTTTTTAGTATAAAGTGATTTGGAGAATGATGTCCCATTCGGCTATGTTTCTATTTCTCGATTCATATTTCCTTTGAACCTTAAATTGAGTCCCCTGAGAGTGATTTCAGCACTATGCTTGCCTGAAAACGCTGCTTAACTATTCGAAAACCAGTGAAACCGCCCCTTCTTTCACTTTTGCTGTTTGAAGCTATGAAGCTATCTAATCAGGTGACACTGTGCCCTACCCAAAGCTATTGAAAAGGATACTTTGTATCCAAGCCTTTATGCGTGGACATGCTTGTGGATAGCGATGGGTTTCATAGCCCTGCTGAAGAATCCGACCAGGCATCTGCTTGAGTCCATTTCGTCTTTCTCTTCTTCATCTTCTGTATTCATCCTACCTCTATTTTATGACTATCCTCGCTCGCTCACAAACGCGCACGCATGTTAGCTTGTATGTGTGTACACACCTGAGCTTCCTTTTAGAGTTGACGTCAGAGCATTCTGCTGCAAGCACTGCCAGCGCTGCCGCCACCGGTGGTGCTGCACAGCGCTACAGCTCGGGTGGTTATTAATGTGCGGCGGACCACTAGGCCACGTAATTCCCCCTCTTTCGGCCGTCGCCTGACCCTGTTCGTGTCTTTTTATTGAAAGATGAACTTCAGGCGTGCACCACTAGCCAAACTGTGCTATTCCAATGGGAATTTAAATGTCGTGGAGCATTTCCATATTTTGATGCTATCGACGTCTGTTCGAAAAGTGATGGGTGGTGGGAAGTAGAGACGAAGTTGACTTTGCTTTGTCGTGTGGCTCAGGCGTGAATTGCTAGCTGGGATGGGATGCTCGCCTTCCATTTGCTCCACCTAACGTCTGGAAGCGTTATGTTACCACCGTTCGGTTAGATGCTGGCTGGTAGAAGACGCTGTATGACCGGTTTCATCTAATGAATCGCGTTTACGCTTTTCATGTACCCTCATTTGGGTGGCATTTACTTGCCAACAAATTAAGTTGACGAGACAAATGTAAAGCATTGGCTTAAATGCCAATTTTAGTCAACTCTTTAGATGCATTGGGCTCCCACTTTTTGGTGCCATCGTCTTCTGATATCGAGTTACTGTTGTGTGGTTCAGACGTCAAATATTGAAATTCTATCCACTCAAGCTACAGTTATGAGATTCAGAAGCCTTCAAGAAAAACCGGTGAGGAACTTAGGCGCGGCACTGAAATGTCAGAACAAACTTCGCATATTTTAATGAACATCCAGACGTGTCAGATTGTTACATTTCGATGATATTATGTCCCTCTTTCCTGCATCTGAGACTGTGGTTTTGCTCTTTTCAATATCCGTTTATCCGGTTGGAATGTGGCTATACCTGGTTCCCCCACTCATGTTATCTTGCCATGGACAAACATCGTATGCGCCTACATAAATAAATGCCTACGCATAGTTGGGCGGGTTCACCTATGTCCGCCGTCACCTTTGCCGATTTGCACGAAGAAATGACATTTGCTGAATGTTTCGGCAACAATGCGCATTGAAATTACTAACTTAAGGAAATTCTCTTCGCCATGCATGCATACATGCAGTTGCTGTGATCCATATTTCAACCAATTGTTCGCATTTGCAATTCTAATCACCCATTTTCACTGTGTTTTGCTTTTCCTTCACCGTATCCTTTGTTCTTGTTATTTCACTGCTATGGATGAAACAAGAGGCTTCGTGAATCTTTGGTGTTACTGTTTGTTTTCAGAAAACTGCATTTAAAAAACTACCTTTTCGCAATGCCTCCAGATTAGCAAAGTCGGTTTTCATCTATTGTGAGATGTGCGTGGATACTATCACGAAAATAAACTTAAGCTGTGAACGACATTTAGACATCCATCTAAAAATATCGGTATTCGCGTTTTGGGCCTTGCAATTGTGAAACTAGGACACTCAATTTCTCAGCGTCCTCTCGTCCGAGTTGAAGTTTTATCTTTCTTTTTAGGTTGAGGACAAAATGCAGCTTCTGTATAGTAGTTGGAGTGAGGTCATTGTGATCGAGTTCTTGCAGTGCGTAATTCTCAACCTTCGAACGGAAGATCGGGTAAATTTTCTGTTTATCTTCTCTCATAAGCGAGGTTTATTTCCAACTTCTGTTACATTCAATTATGTGCCTTTGTTTGCACCAGTCCGACATGATGAAGGCGGGCGCAGGCAGTCCACGAGAGCCGTCGAATCGGGACCTCCATTATCTGGTAAAGGAGTTAATGGAATACCTTCTCCCTCCCGATGACGAAAATCAGCGGATTCGCGACCTAATTGCCCGCTTCAATGCTCTCAGTCTCTCCAGTCACGAGTTCACCTGCCTCAAGTTTTTAGTTATCTTCAATCCCTATAAGCATGGTTAGTCACTTTTCCTAGTTAAAAATCCATAAAAATGATCTGACATGTTCGTTGCCGGGGTCTCGATGAAATCGTCCACCACAGCTCAGACGTTTCTGTTTCCAATTTAACACCAATTGTTAAGTTTTACTTTTACGGTCTAATTCTTTTCATCTCAACTATTTGTACAAAGTATGCGTGACTTGCGGGCTCGGGTGAGAAAATCAGGGCATCACATAGATGTGAGGCTGTTTCCGAACTCGTTAAGATTGCCTTCATTGTGCTCGGTTTGGGAAACTCTCTTTCTTTGTGAAAGCAGGACAAGCAAGACAGTGAGCTTGACCAACTTTCACCCGTATTCACTCTGTGTGCCAGGGTTTAAATACACAATAGGAGTCACAAAAATAGAAACACCAGCATCAGTAATGCGACACAAGGGAGATTACTCTACAGCTCTGCTCACTTGTGTTTGTTCCTTCCCTCCTTCCTTCACCTTCCACTCCTGGTTGTATGTGCGCAGACTGACTGCGCCTCTCCATTCATGTCAGTTGATGCATGTGCGTGCCGGGCTATTGGTAGCATGTAACCGCCTTTTTGCGCTTAACACTACCGCGAAGCGTCTACGTGTGAATGCCAGGACCGTTCCGTTGATTTTGGAAAGCATACCATCACATTCCGCGCCTTACGATTAAGGGACGTCCTCTGGAACAAGGAATCACCACTTCTTCAGCTGAGCAAATAAGGACGGTAAAAGATACCACATAAACAAGTTATAGTTCTACATGTTGTTTTAGGGACGCTCTCCTATCCTGACGTTCGCAGTCAGTTTGTTTTCTTGAGATGGGAGATTTTTGACGTCACGGTTAAGTGTAGTAAATTGCCATAACGGCGCAGAGGCGTGCATTCCGTCCGGTAGGCTATTACTACTAGCCCGGTCGTTCGCGTTATTAGACTCCACTTATTACTTCAAAGTTAACCACAACATCGATTTCACCACATCAGGTTTGGGTAACTTTTGTTTTTGACCTCCCGTACCTTGATAAGCAAATGTTAGGATCCAGATTTGTGGTGAATCAGTGAGCATCTGGCATTTCTCTCGATGGTAATGCTGTCGCAAATGAAGCTGACTTTATGTGATTAATAGAATACCACAAGCACGTGGGAAGTGGTATGGCTACTTTTAGAAGGCGTGGAACCACGGGACTCGCTAACTGCTCCCACGTTTGTGATTAGGTGACAGCATGTGGTGTTGAGTCAATGAAGGCGCTGGAAATAAAAAGTTGCGTTATTATTTGCGTCTTAGCATTTACGGAGATGGCGTTTGTCTCTGGAGCATCCCGTTTGTTCGAACTGTTATCTGGCTTAACGATAGTGGTATTTAGTTACTGGAGTGCTGTAATTATGGCGATTTTAAATGAGGAGGGCTGGCACTTAGGACAAGGACAAAACGATGCACTTCCCTGAGTCATCCTCCTAGCATAGGGTGGTGGCCCTCCTCCAGGGTACTTTCATTAGCGGTCTAGACAGCGATGTGTTTTGTGGATTCTTTACAAGAGGTAATACCAGTCGAGTTGAAGTGTGGCTCAACTCCCATTTGTCCTATCACATCAATGCTCATCTACCTACACACCGCGTGATTTCAATAAGGTGTTTGCACCTGTGCATGCTTGCGGATATACAACTGTCCACATCGTCCGCCCGCGCGAACAGCTCCCCTCTTATGTCGTTTTGTGTAGGGCGTGGTGACATAGGTCTCTGCTTTTTACCTATACTAGTGGGTTTTAACCTGTGCGAGCTGGGTTGATGCAAATTATGGATGTGGCTGTGATTCTCTACTCAAATTTGGATCGCAAAGTTATCCTTTCCTAATTCCACTGTTTTATTGAGCTTTTTTCGTTTCTGAAGCAACTGGCGCGATAATTTGTTGCCCTTTAAAGCCTCCCCTCGATTTTTTTACTGAGCTTAGAGTGCAGGTATACTATCAGGTCCCACGTTGTTTACTCGGTTAATCACCCAGTCTGAGCGTTTGTTGAAAATAGCAAGTCGGGTCTAATGCGCACCACTCTGTAGCTTAGAGCCCATAAAAAGTCTCCAAATCAACTTTTTATGTGCTCAGCACGCTAGATATAAACCTGTGCGCCTGCGTCAGTAAGTGATGGTGCACAGTCGTGATGCTGACGTTGGTGCGTGGGCGAGTAGATGTAGGCGAATGAGCCCAGCATTCAGGGCAGCCATTAGGAGGAGTAGGGTCAGCTTTCACCACTACTTGGTGCATCTCAGTCAAGCGACCACCTCTGCATTTAGGTCGACTTGGTACATGAACCCAATAAACAACCAGGAGACCTATTTCAAGGGCAGTGGGAGGGTTCGCACGCCAATTTAAAGTTCAACCGTCCTTGTTACTACCTGTTACTGCCTTTGGCAAGTGTGTATGTATGTGATTTGGTAAGCCTTTACACTTAAGCGTGGGGAAAGAGGAAGCGAAAAAAACCATCAATTCCACCCACATGGCATTGAAATTAACATCGGCGTGCTATCAGGAATTTCCTGCCCTAGGATATTAATTGTTCCATAAAGTGCTCGTGAAAAAGGTGTAAGTGATAGCAAGTCGTGGCGAGTGAGATTGGGAGCTGAGAGAGGGAATTTTTCGTCAGTCGTAGAAATCTGCGCCTCCGGCCGTGGTGTGAATGACCTGGTGAGGTCACATTGCGTGTGTGTGCCCTTGTACCGTCTTCTCCGTCATGCGGGTGGTGTCGCTCTCGGGTCGTCTGCGTACGCATTCGCACGCGCCCGCTCTTCTTACACTTTTCTAAATCCTCCCTTATCTTTTTCACACTCAAATTCCGTCCTATTGTTGTTTCACTTAGGTAACTGACATCTTAAATGACTGAACTATGTGTGCAGTTGTGTTAAATCAGGGTGCTTTACGGATCGATTGTAGACGTCAATCTGACCTCAAGTCTGGAATACGTGAGGGAGGTGCAAGCAGATCTGTGCCACTTTCTTCTGCGAGCAGCCCGACGTGCTATCAAGCAGAGACCTCTTCCACCTCCCACCTTTCCTACCTTCCCCACCCATGCCGCCTCCACTTTGGCTACAATCGCGGCCTCGGAACGGCTGGGTCGGCTTCTGTCGCACCTCACTGAGGTAAAACACGTGGCCTTTCAACTGGAGAGTTTTCTCGTGGCGCGCTACTATGCCAGTTGCATCCCTAATGAGAGCCTCCTTACTGAGATGCTCCTAACGAAACGTGGCAGCGGTGGGCGAACTCCAATCGCACCACCTCAACCGCAACCCGCGCCTCTCACCCCCTCTGCGTCGTCAGCCTATGGTTTTGCTGCGAGCTTTCCACCACCGCATTTGAAGCGGGATCCCAACGGTTACACTCCTCTTCCTCCACCGCCGCCCCCCTGGCGTCCCGGAAGCGGGGGTAGGGAAGACCTTCCTTCCGCATCCTATCCTGCCCCTGTTACTGCTGCTACGCCTGCACAATACTTCCCTCCGACACCCCACTCCGTCACGTCGTCTGACTACCAGTCGTCCCAACCACAGCCACAGCCGCAAGACCAAAGCTTTTTTATGCCCCCTGCTCCTCCCCCGCCCCAGCCACCGCAGCAACAACACCAACCGCACACCTCCTCCGCATCGGTCATTTAGAGGTGCGGATGTGCGAAGTGACCGCCCTCTCTTGCCTGCCACCTCTATCACCCTTTTCCTTCTCCGTGCCAGTCTTTACCGTCTCAGGAATCTCGTCACCCTCGTCTTTGCGTACCTTCGTGTGGGGCATTTATTTTCTAGTTCCTCAATCTATACGAATCGCACACCCAGCTCTATGAATACATGCTGTCTTCCCGACCACACTATCACTCGTCTCCCGCTCACACGTTCAACTCTTTCGCTCTCTATTCTCTCGATCCTGTCAACTATTTTAGAAAAAAAAACGGCCGTTTCCCTTCCCTCGCTCTCCTGATAACGATACGATATAATATTGTTGGTAGGGTTGATGTTGATGATGACGATGGAAATAAACCTAATATACTACATTTTTACAAAGAAAAAGAAGAATATGTAAATTGCCCACTCCTTGTTTTTCTCTTGTGCTGGTGCTGTCATTTCTTTTTACGTTGGCCCTTTTCAATAGCGCGGAGAGGCTTAGTCCCTCATTCAAGCGGTTCGCAGTCCATTTTGGTACGTTCGTCATCGATGCCCCAAGGCGGAATCGACCACCGCAATCTAGTCTGTTGCACTCTCCTCTAGTTGAATGTGTTACGCATGTCTAACGTGTCGGTTCCTATGAAAAAAGTCGGGACGTCAAGTATGCGAATCATCTGTTTTTCTAGCTACAGGCAAGAGTTTGCCGCAGATAGGCGTACCTCGTTAACCACCTTTGTGTCTGATATTACGAGTGGATATGGAATGGCGCGAGCTATGCACGGTGCTGGGCGTCGCCTAAATTTATAGTGTTGTCTGTGATGGTTCTCTTTCGGTGGGCTTTTAGTGCGACAAAGGGATTTATTTAGGGCGTGGAATTCCATCCTCAACCTCCTTCCTCTCATTGATATGATCGCTCATCATTCATTCAGTTCATGATTGCTTGTTTGCAGATTGGAGCGGAAGATCGTCTATTTAATCAAATAGGTCATCTTTATCCCCTGTGGTAGTTTTCTTTTGTCTCTCCCATTTGCTTGACTGTGGTTCATTCGGCAAATTAGCCTTCGAAGGTGGATGATGTGTTTTAGTTCCAAGTCGTATTGTTGTAGCGGCAGAAAGTTTATCAATTCTTGCCATGTGGAGACCTTCACCGAGTTTCATTAAAATGTGGTACCGAACACCTGTTAGATGGTGCCAAGTACACATCTTCATCCGTTTAATTCAAGATGTGAACGTAGCCGTGGTGTACGCCTATGTTTCTGAAATTCAGGAATCTCAAAAGTTGGCACCACCCATCAATTTTGATTGCTATGTATTTTCTGTCAGGATGTCGATTGGAAGTGGTATTGGTTTTTCCACAACCGCTCCTTACCCACTTCTCCAATACTTCACTGTGAAGTTTAGTCCAAAGTTGTAATCTTCAATCGTTTGATCAGGATTACCTGTAACTGTCAGTTTTAGCTTCTTGGTACAACTTGCTCACATTTTATTGCCTACGTTTATGGAGGCTTGTCTACACAGAAAAAAACTAGTAGCATCCAGACATTAGTTTGACCTTGATTAGGTAGCCGAGTCAATTTATCCTAGACGCGGTAAGTTCTCATTTTTCAAATGGCTTAATTGCGCGCTCATCCACGTTTAGTCACCATCGCCATATCGGATCATCGAGTTAACTATTATTGAGGAGATTTTATTCTCCCCGGGGAATAGTGTAAATGAGGATTATGCAGATCTGCAACTAACCATTTTAAGATGCGTTTTAGACCGAGTCTCGGGACCCCTCAGCGGTGTTGTTTCGACTGGCTCAAAAGGGACGAGTGGACCGTCTGCGAAGCCTCGTGGCCCAGTGCCTCGCTGCGGACGAAAATTCGGCTTCCTCCTCACCTGTTTCAACGAGCGCCGCCCTCTACCTTCTCGCTTCCACTGTCGATCCCCGTGGACGACGTCTTCTTCACGTCGCTTGCCAGCATGGCCGAGTAAAGATGGTCAGGTAGGTTAAACTGGGAATAATTTACCTTTTTTATATATAGGGATTTCATCCCCATCTACCTGATATTCAGTAATCTGGAACTAAATCACTCATTCCCGTAGAAGTTACAAGTCTGGAAATAGGTTTATTATAAACTCGGGATGGAGCTGAGAGACTAGTGATTTTGTAACAGCGTGGAGGCTGAATTGCGAGTCTAGAAAGGTCCTTATAGTCAAATATCCAAGTCTAGTATAAATCCATTCCTCTTTTGAATGTCATCAGTGTTTTCTCCCGAATAGGACATCATGGCAGTAACTGCGAAACAAGATCGGGAAGATCACAAGATGACTTTCTCATTCCTGCGAGGAGGCTTTAAATTTACACTATAGTGATACGTTTCGCAGATTTTGATGGGCTCATTTGCTACCTCTTTACAGGCTGTATTCTAGTGCTTCATTCACTTTGTGTCTCTTGAGGCTGGGTGACGTTCTACTGCAGGCTTGTTTTTAGACGAAGGTTTGTATCGCAGAGGGTCAGCTTGACAATGCATACGTGGGGCTGTGTTTGGCATTCTTTCTTTCGTTTCGGCTTCAAGCAATGTAGAGAGGTGCATGATCTTCCATCAACGCTCTTTCTTTGGGTTGGGTCTTTATTTTGAAACCTATCTCACTCCTCTACTGTCCGAAAGCTGACTCGGATTTGATAACTCACCCTTTCTGAGCCATCTACGCCAGATTCCTTCTTTTTTTGACGTGGCCCTCGGTCAGGGAAATCGGGTTTTCGTCTTTTTGGATTGGATTCGCTTACCACTATCCACAGTATAACCCAAAAAGTGCCTACCGATGGGAAAGGGCTGGATCACTAGTTGATTCGTTTACGCATACGTATCATATTGGGAGAATATTTTAATCAACTGTCGAGTATGAATGAGGTCCACCTAAGACCGCTGGTCTAAATTAGTTATACTTAATACATCGGATACAACCGTAGAGTAGTAGCTGTGTCTGTTTGCTATTCATCCTTCCTTGTTTTCTTTTTATAATAACCTCAAATGACCATACACACACATCCACATTAATTCAAGCCTAAGCATGCACTGTATGCTAGAATTTCTCAACAAAATGCATTTTGTGGCCTTCATATCTTAGCGTGTTGTAGTTTGAACAAAAAAATTGTACCTAGAGTGTAAGTAGGTAGGTAGGTAAGTGGGTGTATGTGTGTTCTTAACACCGCTGCAACACCTACGTTATCAGCCAGTCCTCCACGGTGACGGCACACACACTTAAATTTCTAAGTCTCATTAGTTCGCAGAACGCTGTGCCTTTTAGAGGAAAGCAGTGAAAACGCGGCGCACCAACAAGAAAAAGGTGAACCAAAATTACGCTCCTTGAAATAACATTTGTTAAAAAAGGGCTTTTGAATTGTTTTGCCCTTTTTTTTTCTCCAGCCTCTTAATTCCAGTAGGCGGTTATTCAACTCTCGAGGGTTTTCTTTTTCATCTGTGCTTTTCTTTTAGGTACCTTGTTGACGTGGGTCTACCCATCGAAGTTTACGACAAGAAAGGTAACACACCGGTCCATTCTTGCATCAACTACGGGATCAAACATCGTCGCTATTCTAAATGTACGTTGGAAGTATTGGCTTTTTTTCTCTTAACCCAAGAGGAAGGAGGGATCGGCTAAAATTCTAGCAGTCAGATCAGCTACTCAAAGATAAGGTGCGACTGGCTAACCAATGGACTGGAAGATTTCTTTTTTTAGTAGTTCAACAAGTACTAACTTGAAGTTCTCTTTGCATCCGCGAGCTAGGAGGCCAAGTTTAAAGTACGTATATCGAGGGTTTAATGTACTTTTCACGCTTGAAAGTAATAGCAACTTGATAACTCAAACATCGAAGTAGGTTGAGCATGAAGGGCGGAGACTGTCGCAAAACTGGATTTCTTACAGTTTTAACTTATTCACCACTAGGCCCTCGGATGGAAGTCAACCGCCACAGTTCTACTATATGGCATTAATGGCCATTAGCTTGTTTACCAATTAACTTTTCGCCCAAAAGCTGACTGAATAACGCTATTTTTGTCCGAACAAGAGCATTCTACGTCTATTTTATTGACTTAACTCAAGAACACAGTCTCGATGTGGGGCTGGAGCGCCGCGAATATACCTCGCTGGTGGGGCATCCCTTAATAATACTACTTATGCTGGAATTCCTACTAGGTTGTAAGCTTCTCGCCTGCCTGGTGGAGTCGAATTTGGAGCTACTGTACGTGCGGAATAACAAGGGTACATCCCCCTCCACTCTGCTGGAGCAGCTTTGGCTTTCGGCCCCTTCAGAAGAGCGCATCAAAGGCGATGCGGTAAGTGATTTAAGGCTCCCTCCCTTTCCCCCATCCCATTCCCCATTTATGGCTTTTGGCCGTTGCCGAACTAATTAGGTGGTGTGTGAAATGTGATTTTGTGATATCCTATCCGGGTATTCGGAAATTGAGAACGAGAGGTCGGGTTTCAAATAATCTATATGCCCACTTTTGGAGACAAAAGCCATGTTGAACTTCCACTAGGTAACTATCAACACTGTCTCATCTAACGAATGGCTTTAACTGCTTCTGCTTTCACAACAGCCACCTTCAACCCCATAATTATCCACTCCAGTCTCCGCTAAGGTCTTCCGCGTGTCTCCTTTTTAAAATTATAAAAATCGTAATTTTAATTCTCCTCAACCGGACACTTCATTGAGAATTTGTGCTCCATTGTAGCGTCCGCGTTACCCTTGAAAGCACAGTAAGGCAATGTAGCTGAGAGAGGAGTACCGTGATACCACTGGCACGAAGACCTATTTGGCATTTAGGCATTTTAAACTTAATTGGTTTCACGAGAAAATTGATCTATGAACATTCAGTTTAAATAGTCCACTCCCGTTGTAAAACGTCTCCTTCACACTTTAAGCTATGCCGTTACTCTACCGGAGTGTACTTTTACTTGGATGTAATTGCAGATATAAAAAATTTTATGGCCTTGATCCCAAGGCTTAGTTGCAGTAGTAGGTCTCCTCGTAAAACATTTGCTTTGCATGCGAGCATCCACCTTATCAAGGGAGAGAATGGACATCTTTTTGCAGTTATCGGCCAAATTTTAGGATGACAGTGCCCTCTGACGGCCGTCTTTATTAAACCAGTGACCGCAACTCCTTATGAAGTTGGTGGAGACCCAATTTGACGATGGATTTCAGTTTAAAGGGTAACACAATGTGGGAAGTCCATATTTCACACATGAAACTCAGAACCGAAATTTTGGTTTAGTTTTGCTCAGGAAAGACTGGCTCTTCAATTATTTACTGCACTTTGAGGCTACAATTCCCTGAACATAACTTCATCAAATCGTTATTATTTATTCAACAACGTAAGTTGCCCTGGCCTCCATAAATTTAGCAATGATCTACCTTGTCAAAGTGACCCAGAGGGGTGGATTGAATGGATCATTCATGCGTTTTCGTTCCACCACAAAAAGTGTAACGAATCCGACTTGTTGCCATCACTGGGTTTGAATGCCACATCTGTCATGAGAAACTCTTTTTCCCATTTATTTTGTTGTCTTTAAAATGTAGGTCACACTCGGGTCTCAGTAGGACTGGCAGTGATCGGAGGGTGCATCCACTACCCTTTTGCTTCTGGGTTTAATCCCTCCTCAAAAAGGGCAAAGGTTGACTATTTATTCCGTTAGTACTGTAAATGTTGACCCTGTTGTCATCGCAAAACAAATCGCTTTTTTGTGTTGTAGTAACGGAATGTATGAACAGCTTATACAATTACGATTTCACAGAAAACATTCATATCCATAAATGCTGTATGCCACTTTATTCCCTAAGTTCCTAGGTCATTCATCTACTGGTGATACCTTATTTGTGAATCTCAGCATTTTTATCAATGGAATTTTGAGACAAAAAAGCTTTAAAGAATATGTTAAATCTCCATCTTTTTGTGTCTGTTTGACGTCATTCATGACCCCATTGGATGAAGAAGCCCAAACGTCTCCCCGCATTCCACGACGGAATTCTTTGTTTCCTAATATCACAGCATTGAATCTCGATCTGTGTGGTTGACAATTTTACCCATATACTTAATACCTCCGCAAAACCGAGTTTGATTAAAAACACGTTTGACCGAAAACGGTTCCCTCCATAAATCTCCATCAATGGCTTCACTTCTGAGGACGCATGTCTGGCATTCATTTGATGTTCCTTGCCTATTTGTGTAGCCTGGAGTTCGACTTAACTTCTATAAAACCGTCATCACTGGTAATGCCGATTGCATAATTCTGCATAAATTTCGTAGTGATAATTGCTGATTCGCAAAGCAACGGATTTACAACCCTCTGTGGAGATCAAATTCAAAGGCAATTTTAGGTCTCGCCTAGCACACGAAATTCCATAACTGAATGTTGTTTCATCACAGTGAATCATCTTCTTGTTCTTCGAAGTTAGTGCATTTCTCAGCCTCATCCAATTGTGCTCCATATATTTTAATTTCGGTGTTTCACATTTCTAAATACAAAGGTAACCCCATTCCTCACAAAAGATGTTTCCCATTCAGGTTTGAAATCTCTGTTAGCTGTTGTGAAGGGAAAGGGTTCCCAAGGTTAGGCATCGATTGTCAGTTTTGCATTTCTTTAGATAACACTTGATATACTCGTCACTTTTGGTAATGCCGATTGCTTAAGTCTTGTACAAAGTTAGTATTTTTCACGTTTGATGATGTGATAGAAAGGATGGAAAGATTGAGGAGCTGTACGCTTGCATGCATGCATACATACATTCGCGTTGACAGCTGTAGCAATGGCACTCGCATTTGCAACGTCGTCGTTCCCTCCTCCACCTCCTCTAGCTTCGCCGGTTTGGCTACTGCGCTGCTTTTGAGGCACGGGTGGTGACGATGTTCGTGGTGGTGGCGGTGGTGGTGGGGGTGCGTTGCGGCATCGTAAAACCCTCAGTCTTTAATCTTTCTCCCCTTTGCCTGCCCGCCTGCCTGCGCTACGCTCTCTTCTCTTCTCGCCCCTCTTCTCTCAAGCACGCACGCACCTGCGCACGTCTACATCGCTCGCTCCGCTCTCCAAGCGCAAAGTCTTTCAGTCGATTTGTGCTGGCCTAGCCTCGCCTGGCCTAGTGTTTCTTTAACCTGTTAGGAGAAGAAAAGACCTGATTGACATGATGTCCTTGGTACTGCCTACCGCGAGGGATGTCCCGATAAATCAGGGATTTTTTAGCACATACATTGTAAAGCATGAAGATGGCATGAGTTCTTTGCCAATCCCCTTTTACATCTATGAGCTTAATTTAGGCCTGAAATGCTATGAGATAGCAAAACTTAACAACACGACTGCACCATCCTAGGATAGGCTGCTCCACTTTGCCAGTATTGCTGAGACTCGGACCTTGTAGATACCCTTTTAGGGAGTCGTATGTAATACCCCGAATCAGCAAATCCTGATATCCATTATCAGAATGAATACTTTATTCAGTACATGGAAAGCGCCCTTGGCCTTACTCCTGAGCTTTCCATTACCGTATCGTACTGTGCTTGAATTCTTCAATACTAGTGGATATTCGCAAGTTTGAGTTATGCGTCTTCACTTTAGTTCACCTCCACACTCTTTTGAGTGTACGCACACCCTGTTACTGACTGTTGCCAACCTCCTAATCCGTGACGTGTGCTGTGCTGACTGACAGCGCAGCACACTTCAAAACGACAGTCACGTCAGTGATATGACTGCTGACTGACTGTGCACCTGCATAACTAAAAGTTGCGGTTTTACTTTGGTACCTCCCTTATTTGCAGGTCCTGATGCAATGCAGCCTGCGAGAGGATTTGTGTGGAGAAGTCAGGCCTTTAAAGAGGAGGTGTAGCGATGCCATCTCGGAGGATGCGTGGCAGGAGCGATTGCTTGATGAGTTGAATGCCGATTTTCCTCGTCACGAGGAATATTTCCAAGGTGACCTTTGATTCTTTTTACTTTCCATTCCCAACCAAAGTACCTCTCTCCTAGTTGTCAAGGGCTAACCCTACTTTCATCTTCGCATGATTTGCCGAAATCATGAGAGGTATCGGAGCGATTGACTTTTCACTAGTTGGTGTGCATATGCCCTTCTTTTGCGTTTCAACAACTTTGTTTGCGTAATCGACGAAGTGTGCGCAATAGAATAGTCTTTAGCACAAGGATGCTAAACTTTTTTACAAGAAAAAGCATTTTTAATAGTGTCTTATCGAAAGAAGGGCAATTTTTAACTATTTCGGTCAGGATATTGAAGACAAACATCGTTGGACTTTATTGTAATGCTTCCTTTTGACCCTAGAAGTGATTTTTTTTGTCGGATTATTGAGTGAGGGGGTGTTTTCTTAAAGCGAATCCCACCCAAAGCGAACCGGTTTCAGTAACCAGATAGCCTAGCGATCTTGAATATCTTTTTTTTCATTTTGAGTAAGAAGCCATTAGTAAATAACACTGTTTGAAGCCTCATTCTTCAGAAAATGATTTGATTTGAGTGAAATTATTGCTGAATTTTGACCGAATATGAAAAGATTGTCTTTGTAACTATCTTTGCCTTCCCGAAAAATTTGTGTACCCTTTTTTTACTGATGAAAGTTGATTGATGTTAAGACTGACATTCGTTACTGGCTATTCTGACGGTTTCACAATGGCCCCATAAAACCTGTCTCCTATTCCCACACTATATTGCATCATTCGCGCTACTGTTTTTTGGGACCAATTTTCCCTCAGGATTGGGGTTTTTGTGATTATCCGCGTGTATTTCATTTTGTCATTCTAATTTGGCTTCACTTTATCTCAAAAAAGGTGACCATACAGTCGTGACGCGACGAAACTACTACTGCTACTGGCAAAGCGGAGTCGGAGTTCTCCTCGTGAAACGTTTCCTGAGTCGCATGATCTACAAATATTTGTTTTATACACACGCACTGCTCTCGTTATGGGCTTCCGCTTTAGATGGCGTGTGCGCGCGGGGCGCTCTCCTTAATTTATGTCCGCTGTAGCTGGGGTTTAACCTATCTCAGTTTAATGCCTTTCTGTGCGTCCAAGCCCCGATCTCCACTACCTTTTAAAGAAGGTTTACTAATGCTGAATCTAACAGCGACATCAAGACACCCTTCAAGATTGATTGCGGCATTTCACAACTACTGACCTCAGTGTCACATGCTGAGGGTGAAGTCTACGCCAATAGGATACCACCGTGGGTGTGCACACACACGCACGCACTTGACCTAACCCACCCTCTATCCCGACTACGCATTTGGAGGCATAGCGCATCGGCCATGGGTCGATTCTTTCAATCACCTTCTAATCTCCTGTACTTGAGTCTACTTCACCCACCTCACGTATAGATAACGCTCCAATTTTCCTACCCTCAGCTTGGTGTCACAAATTCGTGACAATTGGTTGTGTCAAATTGTGTTACAAACGGATTGGTTTAGTCTAAGGCAGCTGAATAGATGTGGGGCGTTGCAGCTAATAGGTTTTAACCTGTGGAAGTTGGATTGGTCAGTTCGGTGGTCCATGTGTTATTGTCAGTAGCGGGTTAAGGCAATCGCTTTTTTTTCGGATGTCCTGGTGAAGAACATTGTTAAATGTATTTCAACTGGCTGGCTTGAAATGTCCTTTTTATCTCCGGTTGGGTGCGCTAAATCATGCCATAATGTAGTCTTGTGGGATCGGTGTATCAATTTGTGTACCCCTTTGTGTGTCGACTATTGTACCAATTTAGTCCTGCAAATGCGATAATGTGACTACACGACTATTGTTAGACGTAGCTGTTAATTCCTAGTGTTGTCCACTTCCTTTGTGCTATTATTTCCGGCAAATTTTATATGGCAGCTCTGTAAGTGGCCTTATTTCCTTCAATCAAGAATGAATAACTTGTTTTTCCACACTGATGGGGATAATCTCCTACGTCATTCCCTGCTGACAATTAACTACTAACGTGTGTCGAATAAATTAGTTTAACTTTATTCCACGACTTTGCATTGCTGTAATACAAAGGATATCCCAATTTAGTAGATCTTGACTACCAAAAACTCTGCTTTGTGATTGACTGCTTAGTGCATTGCTTTGAACTGCCGTCTTTCTCCAAAACCGGTTCATACTCAATGATGTATCGCCGTTGTTAGATATTTTTTCAGCTGGGAGGCAAACAGGTAACCATTAATCGGTGTAATGGATTTTCTGTACTCTTAGCACCATAAATGCGTCGTACTTTTTAAACTGTACCGTACATTCGCCTGCCATTTGCTCGATTCTTACGTTATGGCGACTCATTCTGAAATGTGTTGCTGATAACCTCGATGGCGAAGCCCTCCCGACGCTCATATCCGTCCTGGTGGGTTCTGCACATTCTAAAACTGTTTTATTTGATGCTTCCCTGTTTCGCAACGCCTTACTGTTCGATTTCATAGTCCAATACCAGGATCGTCAATGTAGCATTGCTGTCTTGCCTACCCTGCTACTTATTGTCTACCTACTTATAAAGAGTAGGCATCCAGTTTAGGATTCTTCCTTTAGGTTTTTCCGACGCTGGCACATCGTCAGGGGACTTCTTTGAAGACATTCGCAAGGAGTACGAACGAAAAAAGCAAAGGTACATGTACAGACTGCCGCCTGAATCCGACCAACCTTCTGCCAGCACTGCGTATGCTACAGCCTCCACGAGGGCTGACAAATTTCGCCGTCGACACGCGGAGGGACTCAGAAAGCGTGGCTTGGGATCTCCTCCCTCCAATCCAAGCGTCTCCGTCCTTTCATATGAGCAGTACTCGGAGCGGTGGCAAGCATTTCTACGAAGTGACACGAGCTGGGCTATCCCTTGGCCGCCGATTAAAGTGGGAGATATGGAGGAGTTGCTGCGATTCGTGGGGTGTAGTTTGTTCCATTTAAGACAATTGCAGGTGGACTGGCACCCGGACCGATTCTTTGCCCGGTTGCCGCCTCGTGTACAACGAACCGAGGAGATGACGAGCAGAGTCACAGCGCTGTCGCAGTTTTTCAACAAAGCTGTTGCGGAACTTAGGAGATGTGTTGGAAAGTCGGAACAATAGACGTGATTACTTTTAATGCTTTTTATATAAACTTGAGATATTTAGTGATGTTTTGCCATCATTCAGCTCAAATGGGTGGGGAGTCGAATTCTTAACACTTCCATGGAGTGCTGATGCATGAGTCCATTATTTTCTACCCTGGTAGCTCTAGGCAGTTGTGTGTTTGATAACCGATCTGCGAAGGTGTGTACAGTTTGCCTTGTCCAAGGTAGTGATCTGGTGCATCCTTTAACCATGTATCTGTTCGGGCTCCTCAATCCCTGTGGTCTACTCTTTCCACTGGACGGTGTGGTCCTTCGAATGCGCCTCTTTTGAGCCTGCCATTCTAGCACCAGACATTGTTAACCACACTGAGGACCGGTCTTGTTAAACATGACAGCTGTATGATCTTAATTCTCAATGTGGGTATTGCTGAAGGAAAGCCGTTCTTGCGACAAGGCTGTGCTTATAATATTACTAGTATAAAGGAGAGTGTCAATGAGAGTGGGACAATGACTTCTTTTTAAATGGGCCTTCAAAGCGTAAAGTTCTGCTTTTATGTGTTAGATTGAGTTGCTTAAAATTGGGCTACCGTGTATGCAGCGATTAGATAATTGTTCTTCACTTTGGTTTCTGCAAATTGTGCTTCCGTTCTGCGGCATGGCATCCGGCTATCCGGATAGCCTCCCAGCCCTTCACTACAGTTCTCATATGTGTTCTACGCTGCCTCATCCAAACGACCTCACCGAAGAACCAAAACACTACTGGGCAGTAGTGGCGGGAGTCGAATCTGGTCCGAAATTGCAGCATTCCTGATTTCTGTGACTGAATAATATACTTTAGCGTCACAGAAGAGGTACATCTTTGGCGAATGAATGTACTTAGGAAAATTTTAAACAGAATGGTCATAAATGGCGTCTAGTTTAGGCAATTACAATGGGCCAATTTTACAACCAGTCAATCCCCTACCATTCCGTGGGAATTTTACTGAGTGCAACAAGTGAAGCGGCACCAGACTTGAACCATTGTAAAGCTATCTGTGGTAGCTGTGCGCAGCCGTTAATTTTGTGGGTCAATGACATCACTTCCACGTCTCTATTAGTTGAATGAGCTTCAGATGTATTGTAGATAGATAATGGATAGGTAAATGATAGTTAGGAAGATAGATGTCCGGACGGCACGAAAATACGAACCAGGTGACAAGAAAAGGTATGTGCTATAGATTAGCCCAGTAAAATATCTTATTTCTGGTCTACTGTCGACTGGCTACCCTTAGAATCCGACACTCTTACAAATAGTAATTGGCGTACGAGGCGCCTTTGTTGGAAAGCAACGTTCGGTCTGAGATTGCGGAGATGAACCAATGACGGCATGATAGAATGACTTTTGACATATGAGACAATTCAGTGACGCGGCTATTGGCTCGCGAGTGATTATTGAAGTAACTGCCACCTGATCGTAAACGTAGTAGACTGATCAGTGGGGCGGTGGAAACCAAGCTGAAATGAAGACAGAAGCTGCATAATATTCCGTTTGACCGGTTACTGAACTAGTAAAACATATAAGCTTTGCAGGTTACAGCTTCTTAGTTCTTTTATACAATATTCACATATGTTGTACAATACCACTTTGCCTTATAACTTCAGAAAGGGCGCAGTGTTTTGTAAACGTCAACAAGTTATGAAAGCTTACGTGCTTCATATGTGCAGTATTTAGGAGATCGACGAAAATAATCGGCATGAATTTACAATTATAAATTAGTTCAGTGGGTGTCAGGAAAATTCTAGGTCCCTTTTGGAAGTTACCTTAGGTTTAATGGTTTTGTTGATTGCGTGACGTCAAAACAAGCAATTAATGCTTTTGCAGGCCTTTTTTCAAAAAATTAAGATAGTTAGTTTTCTGTTCTTTTCCTTTTACCAAGTCCACAGATTTTCTACATTACTGGATGTAGCACTTTTTCTCTTTCTCTTTGGCAGGCACATTTTTGAATCCCCGTCTACTTTCTAGCCGCTCCGTAGAAGCTTCCTGGATTGGTGTTAAAATGCTGGCAGATCCACTTGATGAATGGATACGGATCATTCGAACGTGCAAGTACCTCCCAGAACATGAGCTTAGTAAGCTCTGTGATTACGTCAGCGATTTACTGATTGAGGAATGCAACGTACAACCTGTTTCGACGCCCGTCACAGTTTGCGGCGACATTCATGGTCAATTCTATGATTTACTGAAACTTTTTCAAGTGGGAGGAGAGCTTCCCTCTACAAATTACATTTTCATGGGAGATTTTGTGGATCGTGGGTATTACAGTCTCGAAACGTTTACGCTTCTTATGGCGCTAAAAGCCAGATATCCTGATAAGATTACCCTTCTTCGCGGGAACCATGAGAGCCGTCAAATAACACAGGTAATACTAGCATTAGTTGCGCTAGGTGGAACTACCTTGGTTTTGGTCGCTTAATCTTCTCAAATAGGTTTATGGATTTTACGATGAATGCATTACCAAATACGGTAACGCTACTCCCTGGAAGAACTGTTGTAAGGTCTTCGATCTTCTTACAATAGCGGCTCTCATCGATGAAACGATTCTTTGTGTTCACGGGGGCCTGTCTCCGGAAACGAAGACGATTGATCAGATCAGGATAATCGATAGGAATGTGGAGATACCACACAGTGGTCCTTTGAGTGACTTGCTTTGGTCTGATCCTGACAACGTTTCCACGTGGACGGTTAGTCCACGTGGTGCTGGGTTTTTGTTCGGCGAGGAAGTATGTTTACTTCTTTTCATATATGTTTGATATGTTCATTACTGAATTTCTTCCCCTATGTCCGAGTTTATAAATGCGTGACACGTTCTTTATCAGTCGGTAATAATCAAGTGTACTTAATCGTGTGGCATATAGAGCGGTTGAATTTAATGCAAAAGGGACAAGATCTTCTTGGTCTGGGAATAGCTTCACTCTTTGGTTGAAATTGTTAGTTCGGTGGCGCGAGTGTTGGGGTTCTAGTAGCAGGATGAGACACCCAAGGTTTAGTGGTTGATTTTCACTGGAGTTCCTGACTGCGCACTTTCTTGCTCATTTTTAATACAAATCAGTCTAGTTTGGGATTCTAGTTGGTAGTTGATTCACCTCATTTTTCTCACTTTGAGGCTAATATTTTCATAATCAAATTCGTGTAATGTGTGATATGTATTTTGCTCCCTTTTAGATTACAGAAAAATTTGTGACTTTAAATGGTTTGGACTTCATATGCCGAGCACATCAACTGGTGTTAGAGGGTCACAAGTCAATGTTCGATGGAAAACTGATAACAGTATGGTCAGCACCGAATTACTGCTACCGATGCGGCAACATCGCCTCCATTCTCGACATCCAAACGCCCACAGACTACACCTTCAAGGATTTCGCCGCCGTTCCAGACACAGAACGTGCTGTCCCGCCTGCACGTATCACGCCCTACTTTCTCTGACCCTCGTCTTTCCTCTGACTATCAGCTCTGGTTGTTCCATCTACTGCGCCATTCGTGTAAAAAGTTGTTCATAATGCCGACTAGTTTCTAATCCATCACCATCGCTGCATTCACTATTGCATCCGTTTTAGTCGCGATGGTTTTTACTAGTACGCGCTTCCCTTCCTATTTAAACTGTAAAGGTGCAACGATTTCTATTTGATACAGTTTAGTCCACTTCTTTCTGTACACCAATGTTAATTTCATATCCTGTGAAATTGAGATCGTATTTTAGTTTGATTTTCACTCATGAATTTGAGCTCCATGCCTGGCCACGCGTTCATTTGACTCATTTGCTCGTTTTATTGGAGGACTGATTTGGCCAACCCTTCACGTACAGGCTCCATAACATTAAACTTAGTAGATAGGAAGATCCTTGAATCCTGTCCATAAGCGTTACTCAAGTTAAACCAAATGTACTTGATGCGCTCTCCTGGTAAGATTTTAAGCTGTATTTAGTTTGACGGGTTGGGCTTTCTGGAGACAAGCGGGTATATGTGGGCCTATGTCTTGGATATGCCTTACAGGATATGAGCCGATTTACTGAGTGGCCCACGGTCAGGCCAAAAAAAGAGCTGAGTTAAGCGACTCGTGGGAATCACGAGTACGTGCGGTCGTATTCTAATGTACGCTCTGGCGGGTGGTGGTTGACTGACATTTTTATCATGAATTTGAAGAAGTGTATGCAAATCTGTTGAGAGTGCATCTTTCTCTTACAAATTTAGTGCTCAGCGATGAATTTTGCGACATCATGTGTCGCTTGTGGCTTCATGTGCTTGATTCGTCTTTTACGTCTTGATGGGCAACGATGAGGCGAGAAGCTAAACAATGGGCGGTGGTATGTAGTGACGCTGATCTAAGACGTGTGTATTTATACCAGATTATTTATTTTGAGCTCATTCGAACCATGAATGGGAATCATGTGTAGTCTATAAGGCATGAGTAATGTCCGGAAGAACATCGAGGAGTTTGTAACATGCAAGTATAAAAGAGCACAAAGTGATTGCATTAGGTGGGTTTGTTACTAGCAGCTGTACTGTGATGCTTCTATCAATGCTTGTTAGGCCTTTTAGATTCGTCTTACTATGCGAACTACTGCCAATACCTATCATAAAACTGAAGGACAAGCAGAGAAAAAAGGGTGAATTCTAAGTAATACTAAACATGGTCATAAAATTTTTTAAGGTGAACTGACGAGGTCAACTTGGTGGTTGTGGTGCGTTGGTTGTATGCTTAACTCTTGGTTTCGGTGCCGGTCCACTTAGCTGCTCCGTCGAATGGGTTGACCTTCCAGCCATACCAGTAGCCCCAAGTCCTTTAAGTTAGCAACACATTTTTTCGTAGCATTATCTTCTATCGTCTTCAGGGAAATCTCGGGACTCTATGCTGTTGATAGCGGAAATCAAAACCAATCTTAAGAGACATTTATCCTGATTTCTATCGCTGGGCGATAAGCCTTAACGTGACGAAAAAGGGTCGTATGCTACGAATTGGAGAATCTGTGACGAATCGTAACAGAAGGGCCAAAAATGACGTCCACCTTCGGCAACTACTCCAGTTCCATTGTCTGCAGGAAAGTTAACCCTTGAAGCGCGATATTCGTGAACCATCTGAGAAAGTTTGTTACGGGAGTGTCTACCGTACCTGCATGAAGATGTTAATGGAGTAAACTCGTGATACCTACCCCCCCCTTCCACCCCAGACGGATATGGCTGGGCAAAAGGGAAGTGAGAACAAAGTGGCAAAGAGGAATAGACGTAAAACCCCACTCCCGCAGAACTATGTTAAATTTAGTCCTTTGATATTTAACTTTGCTCTTTGGTCGGTAATTCGCAACTAGCGATGGACACGTGTGATGGCCAACACATTCCTTGTCCCCAAATCGAGTTCCCAAACAGGGCGAAACCCCAGATTCAGTGGAGTTGCCAAGAGGGATCAGTGAAGTTGAGGTAAAGTTTCTCCTCAACTGGTACGATTAGTTAGTGGGTATTATTATCCGTAAAGCACCAACTACATTGTGATGGTTAACGCGAGAGGTTGACTAAGGGATCATTTTCTTTCTTTTACTAGGCCTTTTTTAATGGCCAGTACAGCTAACTGACCAATTCACAGAAAGCCCCTCTCAACCATTATTTATTGCACCAGTTGTCATTTAATGTAGTTTCGAGGTCTATAACTTCTCCATATCGGATTAGTGTTACGGTTTATTCTCTTCACGAATTGCGATGGCGATAAAATAGCTCTGTTAGCCATTGCGTACCGACTCATGCGCACGAACAGAACGGTCACGAACCAGTACTGTAAGAGCAAGGGACACAAGGTGATGCAGTATTCGTACAGTCATGAACGTTGTGCCTTTTCGGAAACCCACTGCCCGTGGAAGTTAACTGCTGAAGGTCCATTTACCATGTGATCGTGGAAATAATTATTTCTTTGACTTGGCTGGGGTGTGATGGAACAGGCTGCTGTCTCAGCATATAACATAAGCCTTAAAGTATACCGGATGCTATAAATGGAGCATTACAAAGTCTAGCAAAAGCATAGAGAATGGGTGACTCATATGTGTAATACAATGGTGTTTGATCCCTTGGTATTGGTGAGGCGCCACTTTTGTACTTTGAATTAGCCTTCGTGTACCTCGCTGGGTGGACTGGCCTTTCGGGCCGTGCCAGTAGCCCAGACACCTTCTCTGTGCTGAATATATATATTCTGCCCGAGTATTGTGTCTTCTTTCGTCTTCAGGGAAGTCCTGGGACCCTACATATGTGTTTAACCATGGAAAGTACATTCGTTAGTATTTGGAGGTCTCATATTATCATGTCTTTAAAAACGTAACCAATTTTGCTCACGCTGAATCTTGTTACAGAAAAGGTTTGAAGAATAATTAAATCGAGTGTAGCACCCCAAGTCATTCCTAAAGAATAAAGCTGACGTAATACATGGGCAGAATGTGCAATGTCGACGTGCAGAAGAGTTGGAGAGGGGGGATGGGGAACAACCGGCATATGCCAAAGCCGAAATGAGGAGTTGAACAAGCAATCAAAGAATTACAAAATGTCTGATATTTTGATTAAGTGTGTGCTTACCTATGTGAGCCAAAGTGACAATGCATGTTGCATTCCGGCTTTACAGTATAAAAAGGCCCAAATCAATAGCTTTTCAGGATTTTTGTAAACATTTTTACCGTGTGTTTTGTATTAACTTCAAAAATAGATACATAAGCCCAACAAACCCCAATTAAGTATAGTAAAGGATTAATGCTGATGTGAAATTTAAAACCAACTAAGTTGAAAATCTCATCTGTTTAAATTATTAATATTAATTTAAATAAAGCTGCATTTAGGGCAGCTCAAAACTCCACCAAGGTCGTAAGATGCCTCAAAAGTTGAGTTTTCTCCAGGGCATAGGCGGTATTCTTCCCCTCATGCACATCGGCACATTCACATGTGCTACCATAGTGTGGATGCAATTTATATATAATTTTAGTTTGATCGAAAACTTGGTTTTAGGTTCTCGTTATGCTTGATTTTATTTTTTTTTTATTTAACAAGTCTTGTTTGTATGATTGAATTTGGATTTTGTTTGTGCAACCCTAAATTAGCAAATTTTCAAATAGAATCATGTGGGGAATTTGTAAGTATACCTTCACTTATTATTCATTTAACCCATAGTTCTCTTTTAAGCAATATTCTATGTATACCATAAGCTTAAAATTCCTTTACTTTTATGACTTTTACATGTTACTTTCTCCCAGGCAATAATTGGTCTGATTCTACTAAATTTTTTGAGACTAGCCGGATTATTGCTTGTATATGAGCACAGTAAGAAAAGCCTAAATCCAAGATGGTATTTGCAATAGTTATTTGGTAACCCCTCTTTAATTCTTTTCCAGCCTAGGTAAGCTACATTTTATTTATTGGCTTTATATAATCGTATTTAAAGCTTTTTAATTTTAGGCACCAAGTTGGATCAGTGTATGCCTTTTAAGCTGCGCCGTGTACTAAGTGTGATTTTTGGGGTCACGGAAATGATTTTCTTTGGAGGTATTTTTTACGGAATGAATGCTCTTTTCCCTGTTCTCCAAAAAGAAGACATTTTTGCTAACCTTTGTCCCAGCAGTACTAACCACAGTGGATGCGATAAACAAATCAATATGTATGCCAACGCACTTACCACATACTCTGTGGTCATGATGGTCATGTTAATTGTCATTGGTACTCTGATCGACTACATTGGTCTACGCTTAGTCAAATTGGCATCAACTCTGTTATATTTCGTTGGTATGCTAATGTTTGGCTTTGTTACCCCTTCTACTTCACCACTGATCTTTGTTGGGGGAACGTTGGCTGCTGTTGGTGGCATGGGTATGATGGTTTGCACATTCAGTGTAAATCAACTGTTTACAAAAACCGCTGTAGTCGTACTTGCCTTCGTGACAGGCTCTTATGATGCTTCCTCAGCGCTTTTCGCTATCGTAAACTTGACCTATAGTGCTGGAATACCTCTACGTATTACCTTTTTGATCCTTGCCTGTTGTGGCCTTGCTATGAGCACTTTTAGCTCCTGCTTTATCTACTCATATTGGCTATCAGACATGGGGAAGTACAAGAACAAAGTTAACACTCTTGATGTTCTTGAAGAAGAGGACAGTAAATCGTCTGGTGAACAGGAGCTAGAGGTTGTTTAAACCTTATCTCAAAGATGCACAAAAATGTAGTTAGTCTACTACCTTATTTTCCTTTTTTTTTTAGAAGAAGGACTCATATGAATTGGCGGCAGAAGGCAAGGAGAAAGAGAGTGAACTTCCACTTGATGCTGCAGCAGATGCCGTTCTGTCAGAGCTCTTCCAGACTCGTCTAAAGTCACTCAGATCCCTACCATTTTTTGTGTGCACAATGTATTTTGCACTGGCACTCCTGAGATTTACCTTTTTCTTGGGAGAACTCACTCCCGCTGCTAATGCTCACTTCCAAGATAGCTCCACCACAGATCGCATAGCAAACACCCTATCCTTTAGCCTCGCGGGAGGCATTTTGGCTGGTCTTCTGTGTGGTACTGTTATTGACAAACTAAGAGCCATTTATCGACCAAAAATTTCCCATATCCTCAGTTTGGAGGCCTCACATGACCGCACTCAAGCATTATTGTGGATCAAGTTGCGACCTATGGCCTTCTCTATGTACATAATGGCCACTTTCTCTTTGATAGTCAGCTGTCTAGTCTTTGTGCCCGTAGAGGAAGTCTACTATGTGAACTTTTTCTTTCTTGTTCTCATGCGAGGTTTTCTGTTCAGCACCTTCTCCTCTTCTGTCATCGCTGCCTTCCCAATCGCTCAGTTTGGCACACTCTATGGTATTGGTGGGTCACTTGCTGGTGCATTTTCATGTCTTCAGTATGCACTCCTTATACCCCCACCAATGATCGGCAACGGCTGTGCTTTGGCCATCGCTGTACTGCTCTTCATTCCACCCACTATTATCCTCTTCAAATCACTGGTCTGCGTGAGGCGCATTCATTGAGATTTCTTTCTTTTTCTTACCAATTTTAAACGTTCTCATATGCGTGCGTTTCATAACTCATAAGAACAACAAAAGCCTTCTGCATTATGCATTCCCTTCTGATATTCTGCTTTGGCGATCCAAATCCCCATCATTCATTACTCCTAATTTCCTCTATTTCCCCAATTTGATGATATATTATATTCATGTGAGTTTTTACTTAAAATACCCTCTTTTAACTGTGATGTGGAGAGGAAAAATATATCTTTTTACTGCAAGAGCAAAGTCATCTGGCATGCGCAAGACTGCACCAAGCATTTCTCATCTGAATACATTACCTAACAAAATTGTTGTCTCATCGTTTGCTTTTTTTCGTAGAACATACCGCAAGCACTTTCTGTGGAACGATAATAAGAGCTCTTTTAAGTGTTTATGCTGCTAGTATGGAGTCGGGTATGGGACTCTAACAAGATCACCTCTTTTGGAATGCTAGAGGTTCGTGGTCTGTTTAACTGCCTTAAGATTGCAAATACTCACGAAGGTTACCATTTCAAATGCTAGAAGACAATAGTCAACTTCGCGTAGATTTAGCAAGTCAACAAAACTCACTTTTTTTTTAAACTAGTACTAAATCGGCTCTAAATTGACTTTTAATTCTTGACTAATTCTTAAAAAGTCATTCATTTTTCAATGGTGCACCTTGGACGCATAAGGTGGTATAGGATCCGCTCACCATTTTACGAGTTCAAGTGTCCAAGTCTGAAATCCGGTGAATACATCAATGCCTTCATATCAAACTGTTAAGTCACGTGTTAGAAAGTCAGTCATGCCTTAATCGCATCTCTGACTCCACCTCAGATGTCACATTCTAGTGTAGGTCTTCCTTCACAGAAGTTGATCATTTCTGAAAACTATTCTAAGCCATCCCTATTTCCGTATTTACATCAGTGTCCTTTAGTGAAGGTAAAAAGCTCTTGTAAATCATAGTTTTGGTTAAATTAGTCACATCGCTAAACCTTTTGCCGAGATTCTGATCAGACGAATGGGTGGTAAACCTTTAATACAGAAGTCTTGACTGTCAACAGGTCTAAGTAAGCTGGAGGTACAGCGTACGTACCCGCACCCGCGGTCTGGCTGCCAGCGATTCGGGTAGCCTCATTCTCGTGCATCTATAGCAGTTTGGTTTGTCGTTTCGTGTTATTGCCCGCTCAGGATAGTCGAACAAAGCGCGAGTCTCGACGAATCCTATAAAGGATCTAAATATCAGTGAGGAAAAGAAAGATTCATAAAAAACGAGAACATGAGCGCATCCTTAGCATTAGGAACCACCGGTTTCTAAAACACAAGCATTGTTATTGAGAAGCACCACAAGATGCCGAACTGACTTATAAGAGCCATGGGAATACATACATACTCGATAGACTTATTTTTAGGACATTTGAATGGGTTCATCTTCTTCAATTTGGTTCTATAGTAAGTTTTATGCTTTTAAACATCATTTTATTATCTCAAAGTATTCAACAAATTCCGACTTTTCAAAGCTAAATTTAGTTACCTGGTTGCGCTTCGGTAACGTTTCAGGAAGAAAGCTGCTTTTCAACGCTGTTGTGTCGCCTCATTAAAATGCGAAGTCGGAGACCAAATAGTGCGTTTTATTTAACTCAATCAGGCAGTTACAGTCACACGAAGCAGGTGATCAAAATAGTGGTGATGTAGAGACTTAGGTAATGCTGATTTCAGGCGAGGCCAATTCGTGGGGGAATGAGGTCAGATATAGACCATTCTTCTGGCACAATACGGGTCAGTCATCATAACCTTTACATGCTTATTCCAGTTGTAAAGAGGTATGGAAAAGGAAGTAGAGTTCCAAAAAAATCTTGTTTAAGCCATTTTGTTGGGTCAAGCACAATATTTACGTCATAATTGGTAAAGAGTACTATGGCTTGCCGAATATACTGGGGTTAGTGGAATGTCAGTGCTCTTTTCGTCGAGCGAAGTGTTGATGTTTCCAATGCAGTAGGAAAAAGGGGAAGTTATGATTGAGAAAAAACTATGAGGTGAAAGAAGTAGATGGAACGAGGCGGCACGTCTTTTCTGAGGCGATACGATGACACCTTTTAATTACGCAACACACAAGCACCTTCAAAAGTGCAACTAGTAAAGTATAATGACGTAAAGAAACTGGAAATTTGAAAGCATGCATCAGGTCTAGGTTACCGAACTCCACAGCCTCTACTACCCATTCCTTGGGGTTCGGCATCCACCAATACCCACATTTCTACACTCTCCCTTATGTATTATGCTGTCCCGAGACCTTTGGCTTAGCAAACTACTTATAAGTAGGGGGGTTCCTCTTACGTGTTTGGGTCATGGAGCCTAGCTGGGAACTTGGATACCAGTTACTTTTGATTGACGCCTTAAAGTTGGGCAAACGTTCTCTAACCCTGATGCCCTCTGTCTTTTTAACACTCCAAAAATAGCAATAGAATTTTAGCTAGTAGACCCTATTGTACCAAATCCCCTAAAAATTTTCTTAATGTCAATGTCGATGGAAACGCCAGTCAGCAAATTAAGGTTAAAATTGCGGCAATTGCTTCAAGTCAAGTCACAAATTTTCGGAAGATTCCTCCTCAAACCATCAAAAGTTGCCGCGTGACCAAAATTTCGCATTGCCTGTCATCTTGCCTGGTTATCACAAGTTATGTCATGTGACATCTGCTTTTCTGTTTGTTTTGAAATGGATTTTTTTTCCATTTTCTTGAGATGAATGGGTTCAGACTTTGTTTAATGTAGTATCTCGCATCTTTAAAATGGTGAAGCCTTCCAAAACTGGTGTTTTTACCCGAGGTTAATTGAAAATCCGTCCATGTAATTGTTCAGCAAATTGCCTCAGTTAACCGGATTTTCCCTCAATTACTTGCTGTACCATTTCAAATTTGTGCTGCATAGGCACACCATGTTCTTTGGTTCGAGGTGTAAAAGAATGAGCGAGGGAACGGTTGGACGGCCAAACGGGAGAGTGAGCGAACGAACAGTTTGTCCGGCATAAAAGTGCCTGACCAAAGATGAAGGCGCGATTTCAAGTTCTGTGTCATTTAATTCGTTCCATGCTTTCCTCTTTTATTTTTGAGTTTTCACTGTCTCATTTAAGGTGAAATGCGGCCCTGATGGACTACTCCTGTTAAGTGATTTTATTAACACAAATAAACTTAATCTATTTTGAAATACAATCTGCTCTAGGGTATGATTTTTTGTGTTAGTTAGGTTACCCTTAAAACAAAAAGTAGACGTTTTACAATGACCTGCACTCCAGCTACAACACTGTTTGCCAAGCTGTATAGGAAGGCTTTGAGTACAATAAGTCAGCGTGTAAAGAGGGGTCTGCCCAAAAGATAGTCACATCATCTCGACATTAGGAGCCCATGAGCACTTTTGGCATTGACACTGACAACATCACCCGCACCATCAGAATTGTAGAAATGCGTAAGTTTGTCGCTTCATTTACCCTACTGGATTTAGGGTGGTACCTCTCTCTCTCTCTGTGTGTGTGCGTGTGGGTCACCGTAATTTTCCAACCCTTTTTCGCATATTCCCCCAACTTGTGAGCTAACTTGTCTCTGTGTGATGACCTGACCCAACTGCCCGTGCTTGAGTCGCCATTTCTCCAGTTTTTAGTCTGGATTGCTATTTTTTTCAACCCACGTGTCACTTGACATTTGGGACTCAAGCTTAGAGCTTGAGAAACTTTAAGAAAAGTTCATTCGTTGCATTTACTTCTAACACTACTTAATCGACACTGGAGTATAAAGTGGCATTATCTTGACGTGGAGGTGAAGTGTTAATGCGTAACCTGGTAGAGATAAAAAGCTTCGTCGGCCATGCACGTGGTCTCAACTAATCACCCTCCTGAGGCAAAAGAACATCAATGAAGAAGAAGTGAGAAACTCCATCATTAAGAGGTTACATTCCTTTTGATTTTTGGGCGAACATGAACCACATGATAAGCTCCAATTTAACCCACCGACAGGCAGCCATCAGATATGAGACACAATCGAGACTTGACTGTGAAATCTGCAAAATTATCTGGAGTTATTTCACTTGGTGAATAATTGTTAGTACTGCTTTGAAGGAAATAAAGCCAAGAAATTGTTGCTTACATTTAAGGTTCAGATATGTGCACGGTAAGAACTGTTGTTTTGCTATTCTTGATGTACCTGCATACAAAATTAGTTAAAACTGGTCCTGAATGGCCTATTTTGTTGAGAATGCAATTGCATAGGCAACTCTATCCACAACTCCCTGCACATTCGCCACTCAGACTCCCTGAGCCGACAGTTTTCCACCTGATCCGTTGGTTTCGAGCCCACGAAATAACTCTGGATTTTGTTTGCTTATTTACATCCACCATAAGTGTGATTTTACCCCCAACCATCATCAATGGAAATCATCTCACCTAACTGACTCATTTTAGACTGTGAATTACAAATGTACTTCAGTTGTCAAGCCCCTTCATATTTAACACCCATCTACAAATCATACCACATCGCCTCGTGTCAGGAGGTCTTGACAACGTGTGGCTGTGGCGCTGTCTTGCTGGTAGGCATTCCACAAATCCGATCCTATGGCGTCGATAAGTTCTTCACGCATCATTATACCCCACATAAAGTACGAATTTTTCTGCTAGCTCTTCACATCTTAAACGGCTTAAGCATTTTATGTATGGTAATAGTGATTCCAAGTTTAAAATAAAACAGACAAATTAATTGAAAAGTGCAATATAAGTATAACTAATCTCCGTCCTCTGGAATTGAGTGCATGCACATGCATAAGAAAATTAACAGTCTACTTTTTCCTAAAAATAGCACTTTTTTTACCAGAGACTTTTTGAATTTTCGCCTATTTAGGGAGCCCTAAACAAGTGTAATACATTTGCTTGAATGTACTGTAGTGCTTTGACTGCCTGTTTAATCCCTCGTTTTGATTTTGCGGGTACCAAAGGGCGCGCTCCTGTACTTCCGCTACGCGGTATGGCCTTCAAGCCATGCGAGCAGCCCCCACTTAGGCCCTCAGCTTTGGCATTGTGTCTTCTTTTGTCTTCAGGGAAGTCTGAGGGTTCCACATTGGTGGCAATGGGGAGAGAACCCGATCCTTAAGAGGCAGTGATCACGATTCTTATTCCAGAATGTCAAACCTTAGCATGAGGGAAGAAGGATAGATGCTGTGGGTGGGCCTATTCTATGACCACCCCTAACAGAAGGACTGAAAACAACGTCTGCATTTGGCAACTACTCCAGTCCCGCGTTCTGCAGGAATGTTGTTAACAACTGAAGCGATGCTTGCCTTGAACCATCTGGATATGTTGGTTACGGGGCTCTCCACGGTACTTGTATGAAGATGTCAATGAAGTGAACACACGATGCCTCCCCCACCTCTCCACTAGCTGAATAGAACCCAGTGAAAAATGGCTGGTTAGCTCTGAAATGAGAACAGCGTGGCAAGGAGGAACAGAAGCGAAACTCTACCCCCACAAAACTATTTTAAACACCGTCCCTCCTTAAACAACTGCTTTTAGGCCAATGTTCTTACGACCAATGATGGAAGCACGTAATGACCAGTGCATTCTTTTTCCTCCAATACAGTTCCCAAACAGATTAAAACACCAGATCCAATGGAATTGCCAAGAGGAATCAGTGAAGTTACGATCAAATACCTTCTTAGCTGCGTGGAGTACCAACGGCTGTCGCAATTGGCTCGCTGGTATTTTTCTTACAGCACCAAATACGTTGTGATGGCCGACCCTTGAGGGTGACCAAGAGAAGCCTTGGAAAGGATGGTCAAAAGACGAGGAAGGCTGTGTAGTACTTTGATAATCTGCTTAACTTTTCGTTTTGGTTACGCGGACACTGAATGTCAGGACCTTTGTAATTCCGCTGGACGGCATGGTCTGTGGGCCAAGTCAATTACTTCCAGCCATTCTCGATGCAGACAGTACATATTCTACCGAAGTATTATGCCTTCGGGGAAGTCTCAGGGCTCTGCAGTACCTTTTAGTCGAGGAGCGGTCAGTATGTAGGAACCTTATGACTAAGCGGACACCACTGGCCGATGAGGTGGAAACTAACTCCAAAGTCATATAACCTCGATCTTATGTCCTGGAATCTCCTCCTTGTAATTACCTCCTCTATTCAAGTGTATATAAGTTAAGGTGAGTGAAGAAAACGCTGAACCCTTTGTACACGTAAAATCTTCACCAGTTTCCTTCCCAATGACGATCACCTTGTCTTCTGGTGGATTTAACACAGGAATCACTTTTGTCGATAAACTCTAAAAATATTTTAACGCGGGAAACTGAGAACCATTTGCATAAATTGCATTTGACGATGGATTTTACTAAAGCTTTGGATTTTTAACATCAGAATTAATCGAACTTTCGAAATTTTGATAAGTAGATAAGTAGATAGGTGCCTGGGGAGCTCTGACAGATAGGACGAAAATCTGGATAAATTGGAATTGCCGGCACACTCCATTGCCGTTGTGATCAATGTCCCCTCATAAACAAAAAAATTCAAAAGCCGACATTATTGGTTCGTGGGTGGTTATAAAGCACCTGAAACGTGAGGACAGACGTAACAGAAACTCAAACGAGAAGAGAAGTGGCGTACCAACTTGATATTTGGTCTGACTGGGTGTTGAACCACAGGGACACTTGCGCTTCCCCTGTTGTTTTCTCTACAATCTTCGGCATGGCCCTCAAATTATGTTAGCCACCTCCCAACTCTTTTGTGCATTATTCATATATATCATACCATACATATTTGCATTAGTACGACTTCAACGAGGATGTACGGAGCCAAACTTAAACTAGGTAGTGATGCCTTTATTAACTATTTAAATAAGTGCAAGTCTTCAACTGGATAAATTCATTTTTGTCATTCATAACCAAAGGATTAATATGCGACGCGTTAAACTAGTCATGTGAAAAATGAGTATCAAAACCCAATTTTGATTACATTTAATGACTCAAATGTTTGTTTAACTCTGCGTTTTGACTGAGTGGGCACATAAGACTTGGTCTTTGTACTTCTGCTGGGCGGTATAACATCCGTAAAGTGCCAGTAGCCCCCAGCCCCTCTGAACGTCGGCAATGCCTATTCCTCCCCGGTATTAAGTCCTTCGGATTCAGGGAGTACCCGCGGCACCACAGCTGTACAAATTAACGTAAAGGTGTATTTAGCAGATTCAGAAAAGAATAAGCACTGGAGGATCAGAATAGAAGATTCCCAAAGCGGTTACTTATTAGTCTTCGTTGGAATATGGTGAAATTATGCTAAACTAGTTTTGCAAATACGCATAAATACCACGATTTACTCAGCGATTGTCTAAAAAATTTGCCTTACTGTAATACGATAGTGGTTTATCCCTCGGTTCTGGTGAGGCGCCACTTTTGTACTTCGAATTAGCCCCCTTGTACCTCGCTGGGTGGGCTGGCCTTTTGGGCCATACCAATAGCCCAGACACCTTCTCCGTGCTGAATATATATATTCTGCCCGAGTACTTTGTCTTGTTTCGTCTTCAGGGAGTCTCGGGACGCTACATTACGCATCTCTTATTAAGTGTTTTAGCTGTCAAAAAGGTCTGTAAACATATATTGCAATTGTGTTCAATCATCAAGTATGCCTGTAATGCCAACAATTAATTTACACCATCAAAAGTTGTAATATGAAGCCAAATCGCTTTTTGTAGTTGTAATTTTAAAACTATCTTAATTTTATTTTACCATAACTATCACCTAGATTCTGTTTTAATAATTCATTCTTTGTCATCTCAATTTGTGGCGCCTTATGAAATTTTTAACCTTGAAACCTCGTTACGTCGCCCTTCGTGTCATTTTAGCCTTCTAGGTATTACGGTATTCCGTCATACATAGTGAAGTCACCGTGCCGGTGTATATGTAATGCACCATGTCAACTTCACTTCAGTTGTCTAAGGGTGATAATTTCACAGAAGACGCAAAATTGCTCCCAAACGAACAGGAGTGCGCCGGGTTCAAAGTGGACTTACTTGCTGGACACACTTCAAGCAAGGCACAGGATTTTGATAGCGATTCTGAAACTTCAAGTGAGGATGATGAAGAAGATGATACCAGTGATGATGAACGGAAAATTGCAAACAACCCTGTTTTAAAAGAAAGGCTACGGCACCTGGACAAGTATGCGTCTTCCTTCCGTTACGATGCTGGACCACCGCCTACTGATCCCGGTAAGCTTTCTTTGTTTGGCTCATATGATATTCCAAGGTGTTACTACCTATAATGAAGATGTAGCCGTCGATTACAGACGCGTTGCATCTGTTGACGCGGGGCCACACGGCCAACTACTTCATGAATCCCTCTCTATGCAAAATTCTCTTGGAACCGCTGTGTCAAACGCAATTCCTGCGTCTATGCCCTCTGAAAAGAACCCTGTACTCTCATATAGCGTGCAATCTATCGGTGGTGGCCTAGACACATCTCTTGTCGATGGACAGGAGTGTCGGTCCATGCCTTTGGCTATGGGCTTTTCAGGAACGAATTACGAAAACCATCCCTCAGTCAATTCAAACTGTGATAACTCAGTCGCTGGTGACTCTGAAGAATACGAGTGTGAGCTCTGTGGTGCCATCTATACTAACAGGTCGTCACTTCGAAGTCACCTTAAGAAGCATGCGGGTCAAATTACAAAAAGACATCAATGTCAGCATTGCTCCTATTCTACACAATATGGCAAAAACCTCCTGAAGCATATTGAGTCCACGCATGTTGAAGCAGGTGACGGCAAACACCACTGCGAATTATGCAACCTTAATTTTCCCAATGAAATGCAGTTGCGAAATCACGAGCAGACCCACAGTGGAATGAGTAATTATCAGTGTGAGGAATGTGGTCGTACTTTTAAGACGAAGCTTCGCTTGAAATACCATGCCGATATACATAATCCCAGAAAGCCTTACATCTGCGATGTTGAAGGGTGTGATCGAGCTTTTCGCACTCCGAAATATCTTAAAAATCATCGTGATGAGTTTCATCACATGCAACCCAAGCAATACCCTTGCCCGATTGACGGATGTCTTCTCGTGTTTCATCGAAAAACTCACCTCAAGCGCCATGTTGCAACGCACGATGGTTAGTACCGTATCATTCTTTACAAAGTTTGTGGTGTGACTGTTTAAGGTACAGTATAGTCCTGCAATATTGTGATTTAAAGGGGAATAACCGTTTATACTAAGCAATCTAGGTGTTGAATTTTTGTTTCCTGTTCCATTGAATCTCATAGAATTCTCATTTTATCTGCCTAATTCGGAGTAGATCAAAAAAGTCGAGAAGTGGTCATGCTTTAAAGAATCGAACTCTTTAAGTTGATTAAGGTGCACCGTTTTTTGTAATGTTACTCACATCGAAGTCGTGCGGTCTGATACTATTTTGGTGAACCGTTGCCACCCGTAATACACCTTGTGCTCCGTGCGTTCAATTTTAAGCGAAATTATGCCCTTATTTTGACAGCGCTTCAACTTTGGTTGCTTTGAGTAATGCAGACTTTCTAAAGCACCAACCAGTCCTCGAATTGTTCACCAACGAAGACACTTTTTCTTCAAAAATTTTGAGGCTTTTAGCCAAAAGGTTTTTGATGTTCTTCGCAAGACTAAACTTGAAGCAATGTGCAACTTCTGAGGTAGCGAAGTGAGTGATCATGATCTTCAGACGGACCGATAATAGAATTCTCGGGGATATCTTACCTTGTTTATGGGATTAAAATGGTCTTAATTTATTAGATACTATAACTGATGGATGTGCTCCAGTTTCTTTGAATCCGTTAAGAACTGATTTCATTTTTTGAATCTTAATTTTAGGGATTTCGAACTCCAGCAAGCTGATTGAATGACATGTTCATTGAATACTTCTAAATCACGTTTGCCTACTTTGTCTACTAATGTTAAAACTTCTTTCATGTCTAATTTTCCAGTCGGTTCATTGCAATTCCTTAAACGCTAGTTAGGCACTACCTTAATGTTAGAGTAAATATTGCGTTAACAGCTCTCCTGGAGATAATAAAATTTCGAGAGACTGTTTTTATTCAAGTCAGTAGGCCGATGAAGGTCTTTACTCTTTTCTTTGTAGATTCCGAAAAGAAGTTTCATTGCACTTGGCCTGAATGTCAGCGACGCTTTCGGACAAAGGAATCACTGGACCTTCACTACAACAAGCACACTGGCGAAAATCCATTCCATTGTGATCTCTGCTCCTTCACCTGCCAGGAGAAGGGTATTCTGACCGAACACTACCGTCAGAAGCACTCTAAAACCTCATCCACTGCTGCCGCCGCTGGTCTGATGTCGCCCGGCTCCAATCCCTTCGCCGCCCTCCACCGCCCACTCCCTCCTCCTCCCGTACTTCAGACCACCGCAGGTGGCGGGATCTTACCCGCCTCCGGTTCTGAAATCAATGGGGCCCTAGGTTCTATCGACAAAGATGAGTCTTTAGAACTTTTCTCACCGAACTCCCCTTCTGTCGGGCAGAGCAAAAACGCCTTCCAGATAACTTGCACCACTTCCTCCACTTCCATGCCGCATTCCGCCCCCTCCTCTGCCTCACCTGGACAACAGAACCTTGTCGGTGACCCCAACAACACCACGGCACACATTCTCCCCTCCCTCCTTGCAGTTCTAGAAAAAACCTCCGGTTTGGACCCCAATGCACCTGAATCGGAGGCCGCGCGCGAGTATGCCCGCTCTCTTCTCCCTCCCTTCGCGACCGGTGAGGCGTTGGCTGAGAATGTTAATATGGCCATCGACGAAGTAATCGTCAGTTTGGAGGATCAGCCAATTCATGTGGTGCACGCAGTGTTCGCTTCCAGTCGTGCCCTCACTTCTGACGAACTTCATATGGTTGAGTCGTTAGAGAACCAACTGACCGGCAGTTCCGGCGCTCCGCTCGTAGCTCCAGCCCCGCCACGAAAACGCGGGCGACGACCAAAGCTACAGCAATTGCTACAGCCCCATCTAGAACGTCTCTACAACCTAGAGCCTTGTATTGCCGAGGCAATGGCTGTTCACTTGGTCTCTCGGCATAGCCCTCATCTACCAGCCTATGCAAATAAGGATCCTTCGACGCGAGGCCGTGGTCGGGGTCGAGGCAGAGGTCGTGGACGTGGCCGAGGCCCTGATGGCGTCCATTGGCTTCCTGATATTGATGAAGGTGGTGGCTACGACAGCGGTTGTGTCTCTCCTCGTGGTCAATATATTGGAGCAGTTCGACGGGGTGGTCCTGGTTCCCGTGGCGGTCGTGGACGTGGAGCTTACAAAATCCAAGTAATGGATTACTCATTGTCTCGACAGTTTGGTGAAAGACGTGAGGAAGAAGATGATGATGTGGAAGGTGACGAGGAGAATGAGGAAGACGAGATTGATGATCGACGTTACGGTGAAGGAGTGGATGACACTGATCCCTCCGCTCAGCTCCGCAGAACTCAAAACTACTCGCGTCAGAAGTTGTTGAATGACTCGGAGGTGGATGATGAACAGGAGTTAGATAACTTGGGTGTGGATGAAGAAATGCCTGAACAGGATCAGTATGATCATGACGCAATAGATGACCAGTCAGTGGATCTAAGAAAGACGGCATACGCGAGAACCTCAGGAACACCGATGCGTCCTCTCAGTATGTATCCCATGGGCACGGCGGTAAATCACCGTTTTGAAGGGCGCAGTCGTGACGGTCTGGGTGAAGTGCTGGAAGACCTCGGATGCATAGCAAGGCGTAGTGCCGTGGCCAAGAGAGAAACGTCCCTCTACCCACCGGTAGACGTAGCGGAGCAGCGTAACGGTGAGGTGGATGTCTGTTCACGAAGGAGCTCAGCCGCGGCTACACCTTCACACGGACCTGTTCCACTACCCTCCATGGCCGCACTAGCTTCCAGTTCAACATCACCTGCAGATCTTGCTTCCGGCTCAGGTAGAGCAAATCATGGCCAGATCGGACCTGCATCAGCTGCTAGCGCATCCACGATGTCACCACTTGTTGGTGGACTAGGAGGAACGAATCAACGTCCACCCAGTCGACCTCTGGCTCACCAGACAAGCGTTCCCGAATGTTCTCAAGTCACTTCTCCGATTCTACATTATCCACCCTCCTCCGCTGGCATGCACTGTAATCCCCCGTCTGTGGGTGGTCTTGGCGGCATGGGTCCCTGGTCCGAGTCCAGCTATGGTTCTTCCAGTCAGGAGGCCTACAAGCAAGCACCGCCCAATGTGTTCCTTCACACCTCCCCCAACACCACCTCGCTGCAGTATCGCCAGCAACAGCGACAACAGCAGCACCAAGGAAGTGTCTCCCCGGAGTTCCATCACCTTCAACGTGAACAGCTCATGCCTTCCAACTCACCATCCCAAAGAATGCTCTCTTCCAATCCCTACCTGGCACATCAACAGCAACAGCAGCATCATCAGCAGGCTACACCACCTTCTATGCCTGCCACTGGTGATGCCGTGGATCACCTACGTTCGCTCTCAGCCCTGGGCGCCAAATATACCCAATCGCTCTCCGAACCCATCGATTTGGGCGAGCAGAGGGAAACTCACGCCATGCCTCTACCCATGCTCGGCTCTGGCTGCGGAATGCCTCCTACTTCCCTTGGCAGTCTCCTCTCTGGTAAGACACTAAAGACTCCTCTAGCCACACCAGTAATTTTAGTAGTTTTCTCTCATCAGGCAACGACTGAATCTCATTTTTCAGCGATTCCTAGTCTAATAATTCTTCCGACCTTTCGTCATCATAATTAGTCGTTTGTATTTCTTCGAAGATATTCATTGTTGTTGGTAGTTGAGATAGGCGGTGGCATACAGTTTTAAAGACCTGTCTTAACCAATCCCGTCTACATTATTGCATCTACTCACAGAGATGAGCTGTGCGATTACTCATCTAGCGGTTTAATTGAATGATGATATACTTTGCAAGAGGTGCCAACTGTCTGGATTTTGAGGTGAATGTGAGATATATCTGGCGCATCATTAGTCCAGAAGTACCACGTGTCGGAGGCATTCGAAATTCGCTGCCTTAATTTGCTACTTCATTTTCTGTCTCCCGCAGTGTGTCATTTGGTCTGACGACACATTTTTACAGCAATTTTTTCCTCCAACTTACACATCCCCCTGGTCTGTACTTTTTTTGTGCAAAGTATTGGAAGTTGGGCTATCAGGGAGTTTGAAAATTAGGCTCACGAGACTCCGTCTTGCATTTCAACGAGTGTAAACCGAGTAAAAACCCCTAGAGGACTCTTCTGGCTGGTGCGCAATAGCCTCAATCGTCGACTTTTTTTCCTTGCGCCAGGCCATGGGTGTTGTCGTTGTTTCTCGCGCTGAACTGTGGACAAGGTTTGCCACCTCCCCTGTTCTCTCTCTCCCACTTGCACGACCAATTAGGCAGCCCAGTAAGCTGTGTGAGAGAGGGATAAAGGGGACAAGAGAGAAGGGGAGGGGTACCATCCCGTTTTCTCTAGCCCAAAGCCATAATTAGCGCTCCGAGGGCTTTGAAGCATGAGAAGTCGGTTGCAAATCGTTTGTGCACAGCTTTCAAACAGCCATAGCCACACATGCACTACTGTCCAGGCATTGGTCTAACCCCAAATCAGTGAAGCATCCCCTTCGAATCGATAATCGAGTCGTCGTGGTATTTTTGAAGTCGACTTTTCACCAAGACGGAAGTGATCCGCCTAGCTGCGGTTGTTAGGATTGGCTCGCGTTACGCCGATGGCTGAAAATCACGCTTTCTCCCATTCTCTCCCTTACCCACCCCCTATGGGATTTTGGCTCTCAGTAGAGCCATTAATAACCTCTCTGGGTTTGGAGCAAATTTGGGAGGAGGGATGGTAGTGGCTGGAGTGACTCAGATGTGTCTGGTGCACCTCAAAGGGAAGAAGGGGGATTGTGGTAGGGGGGAGCGAGAAGAGCGGGACGAAACAGGAGCATAGGATCAGGAACACACGACAGGGGCTGAGGCCGTGGTCTAAAGTATGTTAATCCTATCCACCAGACGATCAGATTCCCGTGTACTGATTTCCACAAGTCCCCTGCTCTCGATTAGGGAATAGATTGTGTGCTTTAGGCGTGTTCAATTCTCGGTCTCTTTTATGTGTATTTACCGGTGTGTGAGCGAGGGAAAGAGCTGGAGAAGTCTCCTGTCTCTACTCTTCGCGCGTCTCTCCGGTTGATTGTCTGATTAGACACTTTGTATAGACTCTGTGGCAGTCCCCTAGCGAAATCACTTTCGTCTACTGCTGTTGCCTCATATTAATTAAGCCCCTCTCTTCTGGCCTGGGTGATTTCGATGCAGAGTGGAGGGGAGGTGGTGCGGTGCGGTGTAGTGTGGCCTGAGAGGAGTAGGTGAAGGGGTGGATGGGATAGAGTCGGTGGATTAGCCATGGCGTGCGGCAGCGTCGACTGCTGCTTCTGCAGCTCACACATACACACACGCACGCGTACACGTACACACACACGTACGTGCGCACACAGCCTCACACGCATGCCAGGTCGAGTCGGCAACAGCAGCGCAGCAGTAGTAGCAGAAGCGGCGACTGTGTGTGTGTGTAGGATTCACCCTCTTCAGCGCTCTGGCACTGCGCCCTCCCTCCATCACCTTCCCTCACGCTTGCCTATCCACCCAAGCCGCCCACTCACACCCTTGCTCCCCCCACCCCCTCCGACTGCCCTATCCTCCCGCCTCCACTCCCCTTTGCGTGTCCCGACGAGTGTTTGTCTACCCACAGCTGTGCGGCGGCAGCCGTGCCTTCATGCATGCCTGCTTGCACGCACGCACGCACTCACGTACGGACATGCCGCTACACACACATGCACAGAGCCTCCCATTGCCTGATTTCGTATGTCGTGGCCGGATTACTAGACCTTATGGTGGGATGCGTTGGAATGCGTAGCCCGTGTAGAGAGGCCTCCCCTTTTAAGTCCACTCTTATACATATTCGGTCCGATCGCGTTCGTGGGCACACACACGAACGGTGTGTAATAGTAAACCCATCGACTTGTTTGTGGGTTATGGTTCCAACACATGGTGTGTGTTTCGATTCTCTCATCGGTGGATTTTTGCTATACTAGGCGTAGGATTTTGTTTTATTTTGATCTTTAATTTTCTCTTCTCATCTAGGAAGTCCTAGCAGCGATTTCAACTCTGGTCCACGTCACTGTAATTGGTTGAAGGTGGTATTCACTACGTGTGACAGTACACTAATCATGCTCCAAATTTCGTATGCCAGCACAACCCCTTGTGCTACCAATTAAGCTCGTTTCTCGAGTGTGTTTTTTACCTCTCTGAAATGGTACTCTGAGGCATCACTTACTCCAATCAAAATGCACCGGCTATGGGGTACTTGTACTTGTTTGACCATTCGTCCATCTATTGTTCATTCAACAACGCAAACGGTGTATCGTGTTGTTTCCTTTTGATGAACCTGAACCGATGTAACTTTGCAATTTCGATGCCAGTGGTGAGGATGTGTGTCACAGTATAAAACCGTGGAATGAATTTCTAGTGGAATCAGTTAAAGCGAAATTCATGTTTGGCGTAGTCTATTACTAGGCGATCACCTTAGTTTGCTCTTAACTTCGTTTATCTCCACTATTCGTTCCCATGCCTAGTCGAGAGCATGTGTAAATTACCTCGTTACCCAGGTTTGAAGTGAATTGAAGCGCTTTTAAACCGTTCAAAGCGTTTTTTTCTTCGGTTCACCGTTGTATGAGGTTCACCAAATCGGCGCATCATACAAGCACTAATGGTACACCACGATCATTCTCCGTGAGATCGAAAGGCATTGGAGTTTTAAATCCTATACATCTTTTAACAAATTTCATTCCTCCTAATACTTCTGAAGTGAGTTGTGTAAAAGGGAGGATGTGCATTTGAAGTTTGTGAGAAGTCTGAGTCCATGGTTTAACCACCCTTGGAGGAAATTGTGGTTTTTACATTATTGTCGAGGGGAGAAGTCGAAGTGGACATCGACTAGCCGATTTTATGTGAGAGTTATATTGCCCATGGGAGAGTGCATCATCATTGACCTGAATCTCCCATTGCACGACCCTTGAGGGAGAGGATAGAGTGCCGCAAAAAACGAAATACGCTCTGTTTACTCTGGGAGTGCACGTATAGTCTCAACCGGATGGTTGCCTACCACTGCTCAGTCCCTTCCTCTCTCTTCCCTGCTCTTTAAATAAACATGGTCGGATACGATGCAACTCAGCTGGACTAGGCTAAACCCAACTCAGCACACGTACGCGGAAGCTAACAGGCTTTCCCTAGCCTCTCTCTCACTCACTCTCGCCGGAAGACTGCTACTGCTGCTACTACCACCACTGGTGGGGGCGTGATGGGGAACGAGGATGGGAAGGGAAAAGGGAGGGCGCTTAACTGGGCAGTCTTGCATAACTTATGCGCGGTAGCCTTTATATACCAACTGTGCATGTACACTCACTCATTCACATACCCTGCTGTATAATTCAATCACTCTCCCTGGCTTGGTACACCACCAACAATGTTGTAGAGAGGACGATCCTTTTAGCACCCGTTAGATGTGTTTATGTTTGCGGGTGTGCGGATGGACTGGCTAAGTAGAAATGGGCGTTTCTTGGTGTTTTTGGTCCATGCCTCCTTTTCGAGCGCAACGCAACGCAACTACTAACCCATCTTAGATTGAGAATAACTCTTTTTTTCCACTATTTATTTCACTGTCTGTTAAAGCCTCCCTAGAATTTAATCCCTTGTTGATGAATCCACGACACCCTGTGTTGGCCAGACATTAACGCTTGTGCGCGTTTATAGATTACGCATGACGTCGCTTGCTCAGCCAAAATTAGTTAAATGGCTGACTGTCTAGTGTAATCATGCCTACTTCACTCCACCACCTTTGTGATTGAATTATCTTTTCATGCATCCTCTCAATGATAGAGATTTCCTTGGCTTCTTTCTATTTTACTGGAGCAAAATCCAGTCGGGAAAGGACTCCAACTCACTCGAATGGAAATCAAAAAAAACAAACGAAATGTACAAGTTTGATGATGTGAAGCAGACAAAGCTACTACCCACGGCCTAGGGAGGAAAAGAGGGATTAAAATTTCCCCAAGACAGAGGACCCATTCCATTGGTGGGTAATTCACGATTACTGTTGGATCTAATGATCCTAACGCTCTGTGCTTATGGCTACAATATGGTTTCATCACCCACTTTGTCTAACTCGAAGTGAGAGTCCTAATATTTTACTTTCTACTGACTTAATAAACTTCATGGCATTACCAGTCATTGGACAGATGAGCTAATCAACCGCGGTGATTGTTTTCGCCCTAAAGCCTATAAGCGAACACAGCTATCCCCCGAATATCTAAGGTCGCTTCCATTGCCGACATCTGTAGAATTAAATTCCCGAACCCAGTAGTAACTGAAACATAGAGGGGATTTTACATTGACCCCTGACATGACGTCTTGGCTGTGTGTGGGTACACGTGGAGCGTAGTGAGGGGTCAGATCAATGCCTAAGATTGGGGGGATGGTGAATAAAAACTGAGTAAAATCTGGCTTCTTATTAAATCATTTCTGTCTACTGACTGCAGTATCGATGCGATGAAGACCTGCCAGTTAGTGGAATTTGTAGGCTCGCAACCATTTATGCACTGTGACTTGGCAAACTATCAAAGAAGGTTACTCTCTCTTTTCAGTTTGCCCATTGCAGTAAATCACTAATTCTAACGAGTATTTCATCTCCGAAATCATGATATTACAAGGTGTTAACGGTTAGAGTCGGTCAGTTTTGTCGGAAAGAGAAAAGATGGGTTTGCTCTCTAATTACAAAGCAGAAAAGCAACTTTTGATAGCCAAGATGTTAAAAGCTTTTTCCCAGTCCTTTTTTACCACCACCTCTACGCACGTCATGAACACTTCAGAGATTAGGGTGAATCCAACCATGATGTGTACTTTTAGCGTCATGCCACTACTAGACCGCTGTGACCTCTGAGATACGGTCAGCCTAGCTAGCGTAAGCAACCCTTTCTCACGTGGGAAGGGTGGGGAGAAGTAAGGCAACTCAACCATCACCCTGTATAACCACATGAACAATGCGATCAACATTGTCAGGTTGGATGCAAATGGTGACAATAGAGGCTAGAAGTTTTTCGGGGCTGTTTTTAGCTATTGTACTGCTTTTACGCAGTTTCCTGAGAGCATTTCGTCATTCATGGGATTCTTGATCATTCATCTCATCAGATCTCGATGAGCCCGCTGTGGTGTTGTGTGAATTTACGCTATTAGAAGTTCTTTGTTTTTACTCTCCCCACATTACTATGTCAGGTTACTGATGTACGAAACTCAGAGCTCAGTAAAACGACTGGGATTTCGGAACTGAACTGAACGCTTTTGTAGTCTTCCGAGTCGAATTTTCCATACTAGAGGGAATGGGTTGCCTTGAGCTCTCAACTGCCACCAGTCTGATGTATTGTCATGGTAACCAAATCTGTAAATAGCCATGGTTACTGAAGTGTGGGATTTTGTCGCTAAGTTCCATACGGTCGACGAACGTTTGCATTTGTTTGTTTGCCCATTATTATTCTCCACCGATTGTATAGCGTTGATGTCCTTTGACCAACTGTGGAAAAAGCCAGGTTCGGTCGAATTGGCGTGTACTTAATTCTCCCGTCTTGGTCTCTGACATCGTGATGGTGTAGTGATTCACCAAGACCTTAACAAGGCTGCTGTTGCTAATGCTACCAGGCAACACTCCTGGCGCTTGTGCGTCGCTATAGAAAACATTCTTGGAATGAATTTTGCTTTGCTAGGAAATTCTATGTTTGTGTGGTTTATTGAGAAATTAGCTGCTGGTGTTGTTGAGGTACTCTAAGACCAAAGCGTGGGTAAGTCTCCCAGTCTCTTGCCCCTAAGGGAATGAATTAATCACTGATGCAGTCTACGATTGCGGTTCCTCCAGCCGCACCCTCCTGTTTTCTGCGGATTTGTTCACGTAAATGCTGCATAGTTCATTGTTCTGATCCACCTCATTTAAATAAATCATGCTAATTTATGGCCTATGCAATTGAGTAAAACAAATACATAAAGTGTTAGTATCATGTTATCTACCTAGCCTTAACATGGTGTGTGAATTCACGAGGAGGGTGCCGATTCTACTACCTTCGACGCGAAACGAAACCGGGCATTTGTCGTCACATTCACGTGCACAGTGTTATTCCGTTTTTATGCTAATCGTATCCAGAAACGCGCATTTACCTCCTACCCTGGGAGGAACTAAGTGTAAGCTTTTTCGAATGCCTCCACCACAATTAGACCTCGGTAGACACACACTCTGTCTATCTATCTTAACCACGCGACTTTGTGGTTTTGGAATACCTGGGTCATTAAGTTCGCTATTTCCGCTAAAAACGGAAGGTATTCACTTGGGCATATCCTCCTTTTAACCATTTCGGCATTCTGTGTGACCATAAAGTGCGTTTGTCCAATCGATTTCTTTGCCTGGGTGTGTGTGTGTGTGTGACGTCTACTCATTCCATCAACCACCAGCTATCCAATCAGGATTTACCGTCTCCTCGTGATCTCCACTCACTCACCTTGTACAAACACCTCTAATGCCACCTTTCTAATCGAATTTTCTAATCTGGGTGGGTGTGTGCGCGTTCGTGCATGCGTGCGTGTGAGGACATGCGGATGCCTTGATCAGGTGTGTTTGATCATGGACAAGTTATGCACGATCCTGTGCACCTGGGCGAGAAAGAGGGTGGGAGGACGGCAGCTTCAGCTCTCCATTGTGAACGCGCTCGCCTTTTCTACGGGTGACTAAAAAAATACAGCCATCCCATGTGTATTCGCTGTATTATCTTATAGGGCCTTGTTTGCAGTTTTTTTCCGAAATCTCACCTACTCAATTCCCCCTGCGGTAATGTGCGGACTTACGCTAGGCGACTATCTATCAAATGGACAAGTAGAACTTCACCTCCCTCCCTCAACTCTTGGTGGCATAGGTACATGTTATCAGGGTTGTTTACTGTGGCGGACCTTTTAATTGCCGTAGCAACACCCTGAAAGGTGGATCTGGGGCCACGTTCCTCGTGTTTGCTGCAGATGGCGCCAGATTTTCGAAAGCAGGAGAATAGAGGCGAGGAATCTTCGCTATATTACCTACCCTATCTTTTGATCTTTCGTTTCTT